CTAAATACCGTGAATAATTATATATTACAAATTATTCCGAATTTTGAATGCATTTTAAGAATACTTTTCCCATCAACTGGTCAAAATGCACAACAGCGCTGTATGCTGCGTGAAAGACGCGTGCGCACTCTGATGTAAACAAGCGCGGACGAGAAGCACACGGCAGAACATGTGAGAGACTCTCTGAACGAAAGCGCATTCACTGTCTGACAGCAGATAATAATAATAATAATAATAATAATTCATTTAAATGCAGCCGTTACCCCGGAAACCCTGTAAACAAAGCAGCTGCACTACTTTCTGTTTCTGAATCGTGTTTAAATTATTTAAACAGCCGTTCAGATTTGTGTATTTGCTATGATGTTTATCACAGCGCCAAATACTTCAATATTTAGACTTATTAGGCCATTTATTTTCAAACTTTTTTTACATTTGAATCTGGACTACAACATGCCCTAGATATTGTTTGAAAGTGTTTTGTTTCTTTATTGTTCGGTCACACTTTACATTGTGTAAAACTTTTAACTTTATAAATTTTATAAATTTTTCTGTATTGCTTTATTGCATTTAAATGTACAGTTATTTTTGTTATACGAAAAAAGTTATTAAACCTGTTATACTGTATTATGACAGCACTTTTTAAAACTAAGTTTCAATACCGTGATAATACCGCATACCGTGATAAAAGCATTAGCAATTAATCGCAACATGAAAATTTGATACCGGCATATCCCTACGGTTTATATATGTTTTGTATATGCAGTGTTGGGAAGGTTACTTTGGAAATTGAATAGGTTACAAATTACTGGTTAAAGTAACTATTTAAAATGAAACGAGTAGTGTAACCATTTTAATTACTTTACTAAAGTAATGTAACTGATTAACATTTGATTACTTTTTTATTACATTTCTAAATTCTTTATTTCAAAATGTTTTTTTTCAACTGTAAATCATTTTGAAACATTTAAAGCAGGCAGGGTTAATAACTGAATAATTGATAATAATTTAATTTTAAAGCACAGCCACCACAAAATCAGACTTCAGCAGCTCTTTTTACGTTGAGATCGTTCTGAGGTTAAATACAGATTTAAAATCATAACAAGATATAGTTTAATAGCTATGATACTGAAATCTGAAAAACTTTTTGAAATCAAATATTTGCATAGCTATGACAGGAAACACATGCATCTAACAGTTCATCTAAAAAAAAAAAAACATACTGTATTTACTGTATAAACGTGTCTTATTCTGTGTCCTAAACTCCTGAAACATTGGTGTCTCATATTTTAGAGCAGTCAATGCAATTTGGGAAAGAAATCCATTAAATATGTATGTGGGTTAGGGTTGGGTACCGAACAACGTGTGTTGTTTACACAACTCGTTTAAACAACGCACAGGGCAAGCTGAAGTGTGGTTATATTTCTAGGGCCATATGGTTTCTGAGAAAACGCGGACGGGATCGCGGAGTCCATTCATAAAAACATAATTTACTCTATAGCACAGAATGCCACGGAATTCGTAAATTTTGGACGAATAAATCAAAAGTAGCCACTACCACTTAATTCGAATCGCGATATGAACTAGTGTCTGTGAATATTAAAATGCAAAAAGGTTGAAATATGAATCCTGCATGTTCCGCTTGCCTCTGTATGTATGCATGGCGGAAACGCGGTTTTGTTTACTACACAAATACTGAAGCACGCGTGACGCTCGCGGTGATTTCCGGCCTCTGCGTCTCACTATATGAACACAAAAACTTAACCTCCAGAGCTGCTGTGAGAGTCACTTCGTGAGAATTTTACCGTTTCATTTGAGAAAACTAGCATTATCATGCTGTATACACACAGAAACTTCATGGCAACCTGTCAAAATAAAAGTACGGTTTAACATGTAACAGAAATATATTACTCTTGTACAGTATAATGTTCATCCTTAAATATTCCATTTTCTATCAAATTTAAATAAAACAATTAAATGATAAAAATAAATATTACAACCAGATTAATCACTTAATTGTAGAAAAAAACAATACAATTATTAGCCTATAATTGTTTTTTATTTAAAGGAATCACACAATTTTCTTCCATGTATTAATTTCAACAGTAAACCTCAGTTTGTTTGCCAAAAAATAAATGGGTTTCATTTTCATTTGATTTCAAATAAACGTTTAACGCCTTCATTTGATTTTCAGCAAAATTAATTAGATTTTCACCGATAATTCAGGTTACCGTACCGGGTAAAATGTGAACGGTACCCAACCCTAATGTGGGTGTGTGTGAAAATATTCAGAAGTAACCCCCCATGTAATCTTTAACATTTTCATAAGTAACTGATCTGAAGGAAAATTAAGGACTTTAACTGAACTATGATCTCAAGTACAAGGGCATTTTCCATAAATGTTGGGGTGGGGCAAGTTGTCACTAGCTTTTAAAATTTTAGAAATTATATATTAATTACACTATTTGTTGGTCAAAAAATTGTTGTCTTTTATATTTTTGCTATTATGACAATTTTCCCCATACATAGCCCTGCTATAGCCTTAACTTGAACCATTTCTTTCTTTTATTTATTTATTCATTTTTAACTCAGAATAGTCAAGACTTTGTAGTTTGTGCCTCTACAGAAATAATCCAATCCTAACTAAAAATGAACTGGAGCAAAAGCGTGACAACTAGCCCCGGTCACATCTACAGTGCAGATTTATGCAAAAAAAAAAAAAAAAAAAGGTGTGGCATCATTCCTGTATTATTACACAATAATTATCTCGTTTAACAATCTAAAACAGTCTAGATATCACGTTCATCTTAATATCTCGGTACCTGCGTGACGAAACGTGTACCGACAGGAATGAAAACAGTAGTTTGTGTGTTATGCGTGTATTTCTGTCCTTGTACGGAGGCCTTGTCCGACATCTAACGGCTCGACGGCAACATGCGCTGCACTAATTTACACAATTAAATCTAAATACTCAATATATTCGACAATATCAAACAAAATTCAATATAATATCAGCAATGACAACACGACGTTTATTAGATTTTCCTTTTATACAACATTACGTAATTATTCAAAACATGAGCGAGCGAGTGAGTGAATGTATACGATATGTAAACATGATGTGCAGTGTCGAAATGCTAATTTATGATAAATATAAAAAATAGCAGGCCGCTAAATTCACAAATGCTTTAAATAGCGGGACTATATTAGGCGTGTCGCCGTTAACTGCACAGGTTATTATAACGCAAAACGAGCAGCTACAGTAAACCAGTGAGCAATCATAACACAACCAGCTCTGTTTACGCTAATAATAAACGTGTTTTAATCGCTAACGTACCTGCGTGCTGAGTCCAGCTCGGTCTCTTGAGTGATTGTTGTCTCCTTGGCTGCGTGATGACGTCAGTGACGATGAATCGTTCCACTGACGTGCGCGCTCACGAGATTTGAGTAAGTGCCGCCGTCTGCGCATGCGCACTACTGGCCTTCCTCTGACACAACATACTAGAACTGTCCTGGCATGTTAATTGTTCAGCATATGCAATTAATAAAATAAAAACAACAACAACAACAACAGAGACCTGTCCTGGGGATTCTGGGCAGACCCTAACATAATTATTCATTTAGCAAATGCTTTTTCTCTACATATCCTTTCAGTTGTTGATCAAAACACTTTACAGCCAGAAGTACACGTTTGTGACCCTGGACCACAAAACCAGTCAGTCATAAGAGATTAATACATCTTCTGAAAGCTGAATAAATATGCTTTCCGTTGATGTTTGGTTTGTTAGAAGAGGATAATGTTGGGCCGAGAATCAATCCGAGATTGAAAATCTGAGGGTGCAAAAAAACAAATCAAAATATTGAGAAAAACGCCTTTAAAGTTGTCCAAATGAAGTATTTAGCAATGCATATTACTAATGATAACACATGATATATTTACGGTAGGAAATTTACGAGATGTCTTCATGGAACATGATCTTTACTTAATATCCTAATGATTTTTGGCATAAAAGAGAAATGTATAATTGTGACCCATACAATGTATTGTTGGCTATTGCTACAAATATCCCCCAGCGACTCAACACTGCTTTTGTGCTGCAGGGTCACATCTGTGATGGTCATTCAAGTTTGCAGTGGGTTTCCATGTCCCATCATGTCTTTATTGAATAAGTTCACCCGTTTCAAGATAGAAAATGAATAGGAAAAAAATAAATGTCTTGCAGATGTAAATGCAGACTGCATTTACATCTGCAAGACATATTATTTAAAGTGTTTGCTCATCTGCAATACGTCTATAGGACGTTTCCGATGTCAAATAGATGTTTAGAAGATGTCTTTAAGATGTTTATGATTTAGAATGCATGTAAAACTGACATCTTAAAGACGTTTATCAGATGTTTGTACACAGCAATCTTTAACAGACATCTTGCACTTACCTGTGCAATCTGGGTTATAATCACTAGTGAAGGTGATTTTAAAGTTATCTAGTCAAGTTTGAGCAAAAATTTGACGATTTGGAGCCATACGAACCAGGTTAATTAGATCTATTTTAGCTTCATGATGTTCTTAATGTTTGTGGTATAATGTTGTCTGTCTCACATTCTATCCTGTTAAATTAAATTACAGAAATCGGTTCAATATTTGAAAATATACTTAAAAGTTGATTTTATAATGCAAGCTAACAGTCAATCTTAAAAAGGCTAATTAGCTCTTTATGTAAATAATCAAGTTAGAAAAAGTTGTGGCTAAGCTTTTTGTTTTTGGTACTAGAAAAATGCTTCCCTAAATTACAACAAACTCTAACAGTACTGTGTGACACGAATGACTAAAGAAATTAGAACATGCTATGAATTAAATTTACGATTTTCAATTTCCCTCAGGTTTTTTTAAGTCAAAGAATTGTAACAGATGCACCCAGATTTAGCTTTCAGACTTTTCCAATTACATTCATGACAATCTACTAAAAATAATTGCACGGACATTTAGAAATTACACCTTTTATTAACAGTCCAGAGTAATTCTGACACTCTTCGTGAAGTGAATTTTGTAGTCAAACGCCATCCCCATATTTTCTACATCACCATCCCATTTGTAGCAGCTCCTGTGTACATTTCCAGATTTATTACATGTGACGCTATATTTAAATACATGGGTGACAAAGTAGTCCCATAAAAAAAAAAGCAGGTAAATTAAACCTTTACTGTTCTGCTCCCCCCCCCCAATCTAACCTACTTACATATATACTTTTAAAAGGCTTTATTAAAGTGAGTTTAGAGTATAAAAGACAACAACATAAAAAAGACGACAGAATAAAAGTAGGGGGGAAAAAAAACAAAAAACATCTGCTTATTAATTGCCCAGATTTCCCAAACGTGGTGGAGAATGCCAGACAGCAGAGCTAGTGCGTTTAAAGAAGCGAGGCTTGGTCCGCCTGAAGATCGTCTCCAGTTTGGGCGGTTCAGGTTCTCCGAAATATGAATTGAGATCCAGTGGATTGTAATAGTGCTTCATGATGGTTTGCTGCAACTGCATACCTGCACAAAGCACGCATCACATTAGGATAATAGAGTAGCAATGGTGTAGATACCACAGAATAAACATGAGCTGATAGTTCATGCTAAAAGTTACAATGGTATATCCAAAAATGTTCAAATCAGAATTCAGTGAAAACCATGTGGACCAGTGCTCAGACAGAACATAACATGAACTGTAACTACAAAAAAAACATTTCCAGTAGTTGCCAAGCATCATCATACCCTCAGCCCAGGATGGGATGGGTTTTCTGGGCGCAGATTCATCATCTGTTGAGTCATCACTGTTCTGGTCCATGCCGTAATCTTCAGGATTCATTAAAACGGTCACTTTCTGGCCCTTAGGGGTGATCTGGTATGACTGTGGAGACTGCTGTGAAATATAAAACAAGAGATGGGGTCAGAAACCAGCTGTTCCAGACATCTGAGATTGGTTTGTGTGTTTCGAAGCAAACAAAAAAACTCAAGTTAGAAGTAGTCAGTGGCTTATATTACAAGGAAAAAAATATCCAAATGGAAATTTAAGTCTTCATCACTTTCCTTCTCGGGGAACCATTCTGTGCTTAGTCATTTTATCCAACATTTTCCCTCCTTCAGCAAGGGAGAAAGACACATAACCGCTGCCGTGACCTCACCTCAATGTCCACGGTCACGTTTAGTCCAGCTCCGTGATCTATGGTCTTATTGTGAGCAGCTCCTTTCCCAACTGGAGTTTTCAGAACTGAGCTCTATGGAGATGGAATGAGAGCTTTAGTATATGTATATTATTTAATACTAAGCATTTAGGACAACAAAAATGAATAGGCATGGAAAGAACTGGGAAAGCAAAGGTGTTTACCTCAATATCTACAGTCATGTTTAGAGCTGAACTCTTAGTTATAGTTGTGTTGAGCATATTAGCTGCATGTGCTTTTGCGGCAGAGACCTGTTCATTTTACAAAAACATTTAAAATGGATTTAGAATGTACCAAATATAAAATGTATGAATAAAAACAGTTTATAATATATGCACAAACACACAATAAAAAAAATATTTGAATAAAACAAATCTATATGTATGCATATATATATATATATAGCTAATTCAAAATGCCTAAATACTATAAGAGTACATAAATAATACTTAAAGAAAAACTAACAAACAGACTTTACCTGTGCTGTAACTGTAGGGGGCTCCGGGGCAGAGGCTGCAGCAGCACATTTCCTTTGGGCTTCCCTCTCCTCTTCAGCCCGTCTCTGCTCTTCCTGTTAAAGGAACACAAATTTGATAAGATTTTGGGATCGTTATGTAACACAAGTGTCAGGTACTAAGCAGGTGCTACACATCTTCTATAATAGTTCTGTCCTTATTGAAAAAAAACAATCACAGTTAAGCAGAAGACATCAGATGTTTAATATATAGTTACAAGGAGCTTGATTTTGGACCAATGACATTCCACATGACAGAAACTAAATTCTCACCATCTTCCTCTTCTCCTCCATCTCCTTCTCTCTGGCTGCTCTCTCCAGTTCCTTCTGAAGAGCGATAGCCTTCTCTCTCTCTAGTCTTTCTCTGCGAGACACAAACATGCATATTTAGTATCTTTAAATGTCCTCGTTTCATTTTAAACATGCACGAAAAATTAACACCAACTTCTCAGCTGCAGCCTGTCTTTCTCGCTCCTGCTCGCGTTCTCGTTCCCGCTCCTTCTCTTTCTCCCGCTCTTGTTCCTTCTTCAGTTCCAGAGCGCGGGTGGCCTCGGCCAGTTTGCGGGCCTTCTCTCGCTCCTCTTCAGCCTTGCGTTTGGCCAGCATTTCCTGGTGTCGCCGCTCCTCTTCCTCCTGAAGAAAACGACAAGTATATAAACAATTAAAACGGTTAAGTATATGAACTACAATTAGCGACAAAAAATGAAATCAATAAATTATACAAGTTTGGGATCAGTATAAATTTAAATACATAAAAAATTCACTTTTATTCATGGATGCATTAAATTGATCCAAAGTGACAGTAAAAACATTTATAGATTTCCATTTCAAATTGAAATAATATTTCATATTACTGTTCACTAAACTGATTTTAAAAAATGCAGCCTTAGTGAGCATGAGACAAATGTTTTTTTATAAAACGTAAATCTATCAATAAAATACATCGATCATATTAGGCTCAATATTATTTGCTATTGGACTGAAAAGTTGTTGCAAAAAAGAAATATACAATTTGTGTGTAAAGTACACTTTCATTATTTGTTGAGGTCATCCATCGCCTACGCTGAATTTCTTTCAGCATGGACTCTCCACTTTGATTGCTGAGGTTGACTTACAACTTGCTGAAGTTTCTTTTGTCTGGCTGTCTCTTCCTGTTTCTTGCGCAGCTCCAGGTCTTCCTGTCGTTTAGTGGCCACCTTCCTCTTGGCTTTCTCCTCAGCCAACCGCTCAACACGCAGCTGAGAAAGAGAGCACGAGAGAGAGAGAGCTTATGAAAAACTTTAATGAAACACTCCAATTTAACTAGAAAGTTAGTGTGGGTTACTTCAGTACCATGTCATTTTTCTTCTCCAGCTGTGCCATCTTTTCTTCAATCTTCTTTTTCTTTTCCTGCTCCTTCTCCTTTTCACCTTTCACTCGAGCCTCAACAACCCGTTTCAAACGCTCGTCCCGCTTCCTAAAGCGGACAGAATTCACTTTTGAGTCCTGATTTGCATTCACACTTAAACTAGATTGATAATTCCGATTTATTGAATAGTACCATATCGATCAATGGCAAACGCATATGTGACCCTGGACCATAAAAGCAGTCTTAAGTCGCTTGGGTATATTTTTAGCAATAGCTAAAAAAAACATTGTATGGGTCAAAATTATCGATTTTTATTCTATGCCAAAAATCATTAGGATATTAAGTCCGTAATATGCCGTAATTTTACTGCCGTAAATATATCAAAACTTAATGTTTGATTAGTAATATGCATTGCTAAGAACTTCATTTGGACAACTTTAAAGATGATTTTCTCAATGTTTAGATTTTTTTGCACCCTCAGATTCCAGATTTTCAAATAGTTGGATCTCGGCTAAATATTGTCCGATCCTAACAAACCATACATCAATGGAAAGTAGGGCTGCACGATTTTGACAAATCATAATTGTCGATTGTTCCCTCGAAATTGTAATAGCAATATTAATTACGATTATCACACTTTACATTGAATGATGTTTATACCATTGTTTGAAGCAACTGCATGCCATATTTTTATATAAAAATAAACGAGCTGAAAACACTCAAACTGAAAAGCTTTTATTGCTTTTCTATAGTATTAAGCCTCAAATGTCAACTCTACATTGAATTGGTTTCTTCTTTAAATAATAAAAAAAGTTAAAATATGCATGGCATTATATAAATTAAAACAATGGAAAAACCCTTAAGATAACCTGTAGAAAAAAAAAAACACTTAGAATAACATAAGTAGACTTCGATTAATTGCAGCTTTGAACGATTATGTAATTGTGGCATCCGTAATTGTAATCGAGATTAGAAACTCGATTAATTGTGCAGCCCTAATGGAAAGCTTATTTATTCAGCTTTCAGATGATGCATAAATCTCGATTTCCAAAAATTGACCCTTATGACTGGTTTTGTGGTCCAGGGTCACATTTCAGAAAAGAAACTTCCCACCTTTTAATTTCTTCCTGTTTCTTTCGCCTCTCCTCCTCAGTCTTTTTCTTTCGCTCATTCTCTTGTTCTATTTTCTTGTTCAAGGCGTCCCACTTCTGCCGTTCTCGCTCCTGGAGGAAAAGTGACAATTTTAGAGTGATCATAAAAATAAACCTTGCAGGAATTAAGTCAGTGACTCAGGTTTTAAACAATGATGTTGGAAGCTAGAGTTTAAACATATAAGGACAGGTTATTTTGCTTTATGGGAAAAGCAAGGATTAAAAACAATACAGATTTCTGGCAAATGTCTCGGATACAAAAAGGGGTGAATGTGAACTTCCCAAACCACAAACACACACATCCATACACCACATGAATGATGAGGTTAATCTGACAAAGTCTGAATGGTACAGTGGCAGGTCAGTTTCCGTTTAGAGTGAAGTGCCCATTAAAGGAAGTTCAGTATGAGTTTCACTACTGTTCAAAAGTTTGGGATCAGTAAATTTTTTTTTTTTTAAAGAAGTCTCTTATACTCACCAAGGCTGCATTTGATCAAAAATTCAGTAAAAACCATAATACTGTAAAATATTATTACAATTTAAAATAACTGTTTTCTGTTTGAATATATTTAAAAATGAAATCCATGTGATGTAAAGCTGTATTTTCAGCATCATTACTCCAGTCTTCAGTGTCACATGATCCTTCAGAAATCATTCTAATATGCCGTTTTCATGCTCAAGAAACATTTCTGATTATTAATGTTGAAAACCTGTTGAGCTGCTTAATTTTTGTGGAAACCGAGATACATTTTATTTTTCAGGACTCTTTAATTAATCAAAAAAAATTAAAAAGAACAGCTCAATTTATGATAAATTTAATGCAAACTTGCTGAATAAAAGCATTCATTTCTTTAAGAACCATAAAAATAAAAATCTTACCAACCCCCAAACTTTTGAACAGTAGTGTAAGTCAGTGTTTCCCAACCTTTCTTTAGTCGCGGCACCCTTTGGAAATGTTAACAAATTTGTGGCACCCTACAAAATTAATTTTGTCACAATATTTGAATTTCTAACTTCGATATGATCATTTGAAAAGTATAGATATTCGGCACAGCAGGGAAGAACTGCAGAATATACTGTCATACAGATATTTTTAATATTATGAAAAAAAAATTGTCCATCAATGGTGGCAATCAGTAGGCTAATTTCTAATGAAAAGACCAATTTATATGACAGATTTGAATGTAGGCTTTTATTCATATTGTGAGATAGCTAGTTATAATGGTAATTAAAGTTTTGCTCACTCTGTGTATTTTTGATTTTACAGCTGGGTAATTTTGTTGCAGTAGCACGACATAGCTTGATTTAAAACTTTAAATTGAATAAATGACAAGGAGGCTAAGCAGTTAATAATAAAATAAGAACAAATAAAGAAATTACTAATGATAGCACAAATAAAAAATAACGATAGGCCTACAAATGAAATAAATTGCTTTTTAGTTTTTCAGGTAGGTCTATTAAGAGATTTTTTTTTTTTTTTTACCAATTATCCAAATAATGTTTAATCCTAGAAAGCTATTATCATCAGAGGACACGTGAGCATAACAGTTAGCAGAACAATTAATGAGAGGGCACAGTAGGGCTATTGCAAACAGAAATAATACTGTACTACATAGATGTTTCCTGTCAGCTCGATTTTTGAGTGGACTTCGCTGTTCCGATGAGCATGAAAGATATACGAGTTGAGCTGAGCAGAGCGCACACGCATAGAGCGGGATAATACGCAGAGCGTCACACCACGTGAAAGTGAATCCTGAGCGGTGAACTAATTTTCGGCAGCCGGAATTTCAGTGCATCTCTAATTATTGGCGACATTAGAAATTAGCTTTTTTGAACATTTTAGCAATTTAAAAATAGTAAAAAAGGATTTTTTACACGGCACCCCGGTTGGGAAACACTGGTGTAAGTAACCAACAAACAAATGGCCAATCATAATTCAGGAATAGTCAAACAGAAATAAATAGTTTTGACTGACGTGGAAATGACCTCAGTCTGGATTCACTGTGTTTATACTCACCACAGAGCCAGAGCCCAACTGAGGGGGACAGACAGGAAGTACAATTACCAACTAAACAACTTCTACATTTACAGCTGATGCAATCCAACATATTAGACTACTCAGAAATACAAAAATATCCCTTCTCACCTTGACGTCGGTTTTGGTGGCAGATTGTTTGATGAAGGACTTCATGATGGTGCTGCGGCCCAGAGAGCCAGGCGTCATCATCAGCATCTGGTTCTTCTGCACAGTGTGCACGAACGAGCGCATGTGTGGAGTGATACTCTACAGGGACACAACAAATGGACACATAATGGATTGTCTGGTCTGATCAAAAACTTGCGACTCCAATCCTCAAGAAGCTGGCCACAGATCATTAAAAAAAACTTTTTACGAATGCATTAAACCACAGATAATCATTATGTGGACTTCTGCTGAAAGCCTTTCTTCTCAACAAGACTCAAAAGACTTGGCTTCATAATCAGATTCATTTTGGTGGATGGGCAGTATTATTGTGGTCAGAGATGCTCATACCGTGAGGCACTTCTTTGGAGGAGATTGTTTCTTCTTGGGTGTGTTGATTTCCTGAGCTGCATGACGCTTTGAGCCCAAGCGTGTAGGCCTGACAGAAAAGTACAAAGACTATTAGAAAACAAACAGCATAGATCCACTAACTATAATGAGGAAAACTAATTAACGGTGCGCTCACCGGCCATCTCCTTTGGATTTTGACCCTCCACTGTCATCTATAACAGGAAAATATATAAATAATTTAAATCTTACTTGTCAACCCAATTATACGTTCTGTATATAATATCAGCAGATCTGTTAGACATGCACCTGTTTCTGAAGTACGAGCCATGGATCGTGTGAAGCGATAGTTCTCAGTGGTGCTGGGAGATTCCGCAATCTCTTCTGGAACTTTGTATTCATTTACCTCAGGTTCCTTTTCTTCAGTCTTCTCGGGTTCAGGTTCCTTTGAAATCACGCAGCCACCAGTTATTTACAAATTGCACCATGCAATAAAATAGTTTCAAACATCATACCAGAAATAACTGTTTGCTCAAGGCCTGTTCACACTAAGAACTATAAAGTTAACTACAGTACTTTGCACAAGTCTTATGCCATTACTATATTCACCAAAAAAAAAAAAGGTTTTAAGCCAGGGCTGCATTTCCCAAAAGCATCATAAGCCCAAGTAGCTCGTAGATCCATTGCTACCAATGGTCTCTTCAATCAACTTATCTCAAGATGCTTTTGAGAAATGCAGACCAGTTATTTGTGTCTTTTGCTGTAGTGTGCCAGTAGGAAATATCGGTTTACATTTCCAAACATTCCTTTTGCCATTAATTATAATAATCCAGTGAGATTTTTGTATGCACAAGAAGTCTGACAACACACAGAGATCTGATCTCACCATCATCATGTCCATCTGGAATGACATGAAGAATCATGGGATCAGCATTTAAAGACATTCTAAACTCTATTGGGGTTAGACAACGTGTCAGGACCTACTCATTGTCATAATCATACATAATTTAATACGATCACAGTGATGATATCTCAGATCATTATCTAGTCTCATGTATACTCCATATAGCTAAAGCTGCAAATTCAACTCCGTGTTACAAATATGGTAGAACCATCACTTCTACAACAAAAGTCTGCTTTGTAAATAATCTTCCCGATTTGTCTCAATTCCTCAGCATATTCAATATCTCAGAAAAACTTGGTGTAACAAACTATTGACTCTCTTTCTAGCACTTTAGACACAGTCACTCCATTATGCTTAAAGAATATTAAGGAAAACAGTCCGACCCTGTTGTATAACAAGCACACTCGCGTCTTTAAGAGAGCAGCCCAGAAAATGCAGCGCAGCTGGAAGAAAACCAAACTAGAGGTATTTCGTATTGCATGGAGGGAAAGTACTTCAACATGCAGAAAAGCCTTAAAAACTGCTTGATCTGCTTACTTTTAGTTTCTTTTAAAAGAAAACAAACACAACCCCAGGTATTTATTCAGTACAGTGGCTAAATTAACGAAAAATAAAGCATCAACAGGCACAGACATTTCCCAACAGCACAGCAGTAATGACTTTATAAACTTCTTTACTTCCAAAATCAATACTATTAGAGATAAAATTATAACCATGCAGCCGTCAGCTAAAGTATTGCATCAGACAGTGCACTATAGATTCCCTGAGGAACAATTTCACTCATTCTCTGCTATAGGACAGGAAGAATTGTATAAACTTGTTAAATCATCTAAACCAACAACATGCATGTTAGATCCTATTCCATCTAAGCTACTAAAAGATGTGCTTCCAAAAGTCTTAAGCCCCTTTAGGTTCCCCCGAGCCGTTTTCCTGGTTGCATTCGCACCACCAACAGGAACTCAGAAGTGATGAAAGCCAGTGGACAACAACGCCATTTAAGCGCAGCATTCAGCAACGTAAACAATAAAAGGATGGAGGACACCGTGATCGGAGCTGTGTTTTTGATTTATATACTGGGTTTCGTGATATGGAGATAGAATGTAGAAGTAGAAGTAATGCGATAGAAAGAGCAAATCAGAGGACTACTACGAAATCTACTACGGCAACTTGCATTTCTATGATAGAATCAGAGAAAAGAGCATAAATGTTTAGAAGTGCTTGGACTTCGGCGTCGGTCCATTTTTTTCCAGCGTTTTCCTTCTTGTGGCCTACTGTAAACTGCTCCGTGAATAAACTGTTGTGTGTTTATCCGGATTTCTAAAAAAGGAGAGTGCCGGCGTTTTCCCACATGCGTTCAGCCAATCAACGTACACTTACATCACTGGTAGTTCCTATAGCACGGGTTTAGACCCTACTCTGAAGTAAGAGCTAATTTAGTTCCCGTAAAAGGAGTTCCGAGAACTAAAATCATTCCAAGTTCCTGCAGTGCGAACATCTGGGGACTTCCGCCAATAGCTCTAGGAACTATAAAAAGGTTCCTCTGGTGCGAAAGGGGCTATAGATCCTTTTCTGAATATCATTAAGTCATCATTGTCATTAGAATATGTCCCAAAAACTTTCAAACTGGCTGTTATTAAGCCTCTCATTTAAAAAAAACAAAAAAAAACAACAACTTAATCCTGGAGAATTAGTTAATTACAGACCGATCTCAAATATCAAAGCTCAGTACTAGGACCGTTGCTTTTCACGCTTTACATGTTACCCTTGGGAGATACCATCAGGAAACATAGCATTAGCTTTCACTGTTATGCTGATGATACTATATATTATGCTATATATTTCTTTGTGGTCCGATGAAACATAATTCGCAAAACTAACAATGCATAGCTGATAGAAAACTAAAAACTGGATGACTAGTAATTTCCTTCTGCTAAATTCTGAAAAAAAACTGAGGTTTTAATTATCAGACCAAAATCCTCTGCATTTAATAATCTAGAACACTAACACTTGATAGCTACTCTGTCAAGTCTTCGTAATCACTCAGGAACCTAGGTGTGCTATTTGATAGCAACTTTTCCTTTGAAAGTCATGTTTCTTGCATTTGTATTTTTCATTTTTTCATCTTAAAAATATATCTAAATTACTACCTATGCTCTCAATGTCAAATGTAGAGCCCTAGAGACAGATCCTCGGCAAAGACTTCGTCGGCCTTAGGAACAAGACCACAAGAACCAGAAGAGTCCTCTGCTCAATCTGTCTCGTGTTGCAGCCTGGAATTAAACCACATAGAAGAACTGGCCCCCTGACTGAGCCTGGTTTCTCCCAAGGTTTTTTCTCCATTTCGGTCACCGATGGAGTTTTGGCTCCTTGCCACTGTCACCTTTGGTTTGTTTAGTTGGGGACACAATTTCTGAAGAGAACTGAACTGCGCTGGACGATGACATCACTGAATCAACAATGAACTGACTTTAATTGATAAACTGATAGTTTTCTATTGTCCTCTTGCATTATCAGATTGCCAATTGTCCGGTTGGATGACGACGATGGTGCGCCTGATGCGCAATCCCGAGCACAATTCAAATAGGATGACGACAACGGTGTGCAAGATACCAACAAACGCGAGATCCTTGTGCATACAAAAATCTCACTGGATTATTACAATTAATGGCAAAAGTAATGTTTGGAAATGTAAACTGATATTTCCTATTGACACACTACAGCAAAAGATAGAAATAACTGGCTTAAAACCATTTTTTGTTGTTGAAAACACTAATGGCCTAAGACTTTTGCACAGTACTGTATATGAGGATATTTATTAGAAGAGCGCTGCAGTTTTGTCGTCTGCTGCTTTAAATGCTCAAGCTCTTTGAAGTTGAATGAATTTTGATTGCTGTCAATGTCTGTATTGTTCATCAGCTGCAAAAAGTTGTTTGAAAATGATCAATTATACTGTTCCTCTGTAACATCATTGTTATAGCTGTGGTGCCATTGTCTTAAATTTAGGACGATTTAGAAAACTATGTCTTTGTAGTTATTGTCCTTGGTGTGAATGGGCCTTAAATCTGGCTCTTGTGTCTCTCTTATTAGCTAAGGTAAATTAAAACCACAGCAGAAAATTCTTCTCACCTCAGTTTGGAGGATTTCTGATTCGGGTTTGGTTTCAGTGGCTGGTTCGGTCACCATTTGCGGTACATCAATCCTAAAACAGAACCGTGAAACAGTGTTAAAATATCTCAACTGATAACTGAAAGGTAGTGGGTTTGAATCCCAGAAGAAACAATTCAACAACTGAAACAGAAAGCAAAAGCACTCACTGTTCTTCTTTGTTCTCCATTTCCTCAGTTCCATCATCCATACAAATTCATACTTTTCTGGACCTTTACAGTGTTATTTACTTGGCAGTCAATGGGACAGTCACAAGCCTCCCGGTTTTCATCCAAAATATTTTAAATTGTGTTCCGAAGACGAACAAAGCTTTTACGGGTTTGGAACGACATGGGGGTAAGTGATTAATGACAATTTTAATTTAGGGGTGGAGTATTCCTTTAAGGTGTTCAAACTGGCTTCAAGCTATTAATTTACAATCAGAGTTGGTGACTCGAATTGATACGAGTTTAGCTTAGTCTCACCACTGACGGAGCTGCTGCAGGTCGAGTTTCCCAGTCTGGCTTTCTTCTTCAGGAAAGATCGTCGGGATGCCCTGCGAACAGCTTCCTGGGTCATGCTATGCCTGAGGCCCACCAGAGAACGGCGAACCACCAGCGAGCGCCGAACTGATGTCCGAGACGAGCCTTGAGGTGTTGTCTGCAACCCAGATGCAGCGATGGGGATTTTATTAGCAGATCGTCCCGGAGACACACCAGCGTTCAGCAGTGAATCCGCACTCAGACGCTCCGAGGAGGGAATCCTCACCATGGCTTCAGACACCAGGACCTGATGCTGATTGGAGCCTGAATCCTGCACCTCAACGGCTTCTTTCACTTCTGGAATGTTCCCTGCCACTTCTTCCACCTCCTTGGCTTTGGCGCCGCCTTTGTTTCGGGTGCTGCGTTTGACAGGTTCGGTTTCAGCCGGGGCGGTGGTTTTGTTGCGGCGTGTGCGACGAGCAGGTTCCTCCATCAGGCTCGTAGAGCTGTCGTTTGGCACGTGTGGCGTAACAAGTTCAGAGATGCTGTTCAGGGTCATTTGGACCGAAGAACGACGCAGGTTGCTGCGTTTCCCCTTGGAGAAACTACAGAGAGACAAAGACATCATAAACTTTATCACTATAGAAAAAATATGCCAATTTGAGTTCATGTATATTAAAGGAAAGTTAAACAGAATAATGTTTTGATAGTGCTGGAGATTTACGAGCTTTACAAAGACTGATATCAAAACCAGAAAAACATTTCATATTAAGATTGTTTTTGTTTTATTTCATTTATGCATTTTGCAGATGCCTTTATTCAAATGAATTGCATTACATTCAAAGTAAACATTTGATGCATTTCCTATGAATCAAACCCATGACCTTGGCGTTGCTGGCGTCTCGCTTTACTGTTTGAACTACAGGAACGTAGGGCTGCACAATTAATCCAAATAAAATCAAACTTGTGATATTTTTGTCAAATCGCAAAGGCTGCTAAATATATTAGAGAAGCTTTAAGGTCACAAACAGTTTTCTGTCAAAAATGTTAAAAAAATTACGAAATTAAGACAGCCAAAAATAGTAGCATTGTAATCTTACCTGGTCAATTTCTTTGGTAAAATCCTGCAGCTTCCCATTAAAAACCTCCATGAGGGAGCGCGTGGCCTCCGGCAAGGAACTCATGTTGCCTCCCCTGGAAATACAGAAGGATAGGTCTTGATTTTGCAATACTGACTAATAAAGCAAGTGTAAAGAATAGCATTTTGAGTTTTTGCATGCAACTGATCACAAACTAACTTTACATTATGACTCCACTAGGCACTTCTGACAAGCTGTCATTCTGAAAACACATGTTTACTATTGTGCTTCAGGGAAAATGTTAAAACATGAATTTGCTTGACAGCAAAGAGCAAAAGGTCCAGACTCATTAATATTAATATATGTCTGTCAAATGTTACAACAAAGAAATTGAGCATTTAGACGGTGTTTCTCAAAACATTGGAAATATTTCATGATGCAGGTAGATTAACTTACTGCATACTAACCATATATGATGTTCAAATTAAGAAATGTAAACATTTAATCTAATGGTTTTTTATGAACTAAGTCTTTATTCCGATCTCAGTCCAAACACAGGACTTATTATCACATATAATAAACAAATATATTATATTCCGGTTGTTACATTTATGCCGTAAGAATATTAAAATTACACAAAATAGCATGCTAATAACTAAAACGTGAATTTATGTCTGACTGCATTAAGAATTCATAGCTAACTTAAACAGCGAAATAATACATTTTAAAACGGCATCTACCTCTTTAGACTGTATGCACGACCGCACTGCAAAAACAAAGACTTGATGATCCGAAGTTATGAACCTTGCTTCTATTTTGTTCATAAACATTAAAAGCTATTTTCTGCCTTCGGCTCCACTGTCTCTTGTTTTTCTGCCACCCGCTCAAAACGGTTTAAATAGTTTAAAATTCTGCTCCGACGAATAATACACTACGAACCGCCCGATTCTGGGTGGGATCAAAGAATCCGTGTGTGCGATTGAACAATACGGCTGTCTGTCACGACAGATTCGGCCAATCACAATCAAGAACGTTTAGGCAAGGACGAGCTGTGCTCCCATTGGATGATACGCATGTCTGTCAGATTCAAACCGTCCAATGCAGGAAGAGTGCGGTGAAGTCCCCGCCTCCGTCGTGACGTCAGCGTGTTCGACATTCCGCGTGAAAACAGAGCGAAACATAACGAGTTCCGTGATTTGATAAGAGTCTCGTTTATTTTATTAAACGTAAAACCAGATCAGCTTGACAGTTCTTAAAATGTCCCAGACGTTTTGCGTATAGTACAACATTTTAGAATTTTAATTATTAGGATTAAACACAACCGTCACACTGTTACCATGGTAACAGAAGCAGCTAGCTTGCTAGCGTCGTAAACGGCTCGTCGTTTGAGCACTCGACAGCTAGCATAATTTATAATCTTTAAAATATAAACCATAGACGCCCCACACTGAAACGACAATGTAGGTGAGTTTGGTTGACTACCAGATTAACACGATTAGATCTGATCACTCTTGAGATGATACGCTTTTCTAAACAGGTATCACTTTTTTATTTAAACAACTGTGTTCGTATATGTTACGTTTATCGCATTTGATTATAATATAATACTTTGTATAGTTAGCTGGTTTATAGCTTATTCAATATGAAACCAATGCTTTACCATGGTGTTATTGGAGTGCCTTGAAAGCACCGTGCTGTATGAGTAAAATACTATGATATTACCCTCTGATACTACCACTGTACCATAGTATCACCACACTACCCTTTGAAAGAAAAATGTGTGATTTATGATCAAACAGAAGTGTCATATGGACAGCATACCAACGACAGACCGACCTGTGCTTCTGTCATTATTGAATAACTCTAATCCTCTTTGCAGGATTTATTTTTAGAGGATGGACGAGACATGCAAGGTGATCAGAACCTGAAGCTCAGGTGAAGGACAATCTGCTGATGGAGATGTGCCTTCACAGAGCATGAAGAAAATATTCAACTTCAAGAAGAAGAAGGGCTCCCCCAGCCCCTCCGAGACGGGGAGCGTGCTGTCGGCCAGCTATGATGTGAAGGAGAAAGACCTCGGGAAGGTCCACAAGGCTGCGTTCAGCGGAGATGTGGTCAAACTCAGACAGCTGGCCAAGAAGAATGATTTAAACCAGCTGGATAAGGAAAACAGGTAATGGTTGATGATCTGCAACTATTTTGTTTGTAGTGGACAAATCAAAATGTATTACAGAAAATACAGAATCTTACCACCGACAGCGATTTTCAGCAACTTGCCAGATTGAACCTTGTCAGATCTTAACCTTAGACTTAAGATAGAAAGTTTCTGTAATGCGGCCCATCAGGCTTCTCCTTCAGGGCTCAGCAATGGGAATTTGGTCAGTAGTTGTATTGCCTTGCTTACATTTTCATTTTCCCAACTGCAAAAGAATGACCTATATTTATTTTTTAGCAAATACATTTTTATATTTGCTAGAAATATTTGTATTTTTCATGAAATTTAACTTTAACTTTTTCATTATTATTATTATTATTATATTAAAGGCACAATATGTAAGATTTTTTTATAAAAATATCCAAAAAACAATAGAACAGTGTTATATATTTTGCTGACTTGTGTTACAGTATCCCAAATGTTTCGAAGAATGCTTAAATCCAGAGAAATAAGCAATTTTTTTATCTAATGACACGAACCGTGTCTATAGTGTCATTGTGTCGCCTGCCGATGACGTCATAACCCTTCGATTTCCGGAAACACCAAAGACGCTTAAATATGTTGTGTGTTTTAATAGACCGGTGACGACCGCACAGAGTAGCATTATAACATAACTTTCAAATGTATCTAGTATGATAAAACAGCGCTGCTTTCCCCCACATACACACGACCGGAAGCAGCGGAAGCGGTCGACTGTGGTATAATAAAAGCTCCGCTGCTTTACCCCACATACACACGACCGGAAGCAGCGGAAGCGCTCGACTGTGGTATAATAAAAGCTCCGCTGCTTTACCCCACATACACACGACCGGAAGCAGCGGAAGCGCTCGACTGTGGCATAATAAAAGCTCCGCTGCTTTCGAGTCGTGTGTCGCGCTCGTTCAGCGCCTCGTTTCGCTTCGACGGCTTTCAGCCTCACCCTGCTTCATTCTACTACGTTAATAAATCATTAGCTCATCCATGAACATGATTTCTGCCCGAGTCCCGTTGGATTGCATCGGCTGTGGGGATGAAGACCACAACTCCCATGATTCCTCATCTAACTACACCTTTGTTTCTTTGTTTATTTTGAATACGCGCCCTCTAGCGGCGAAAATTACATATTGTGGCTTTAATTTACAAAAGCTAAATGTGCATATACAATATGGATTTGGTCTGAATTTGTTTTAGATTTTTACTTGCCCTGCTAAAATTTTCTCTGGCTGCACTACAAGAGAATAATCTAGCCTATTTTTAATTTTTTAGCAATTTTAGCATTGCTAGAAATCTTTTAATTTTCATGAACTTTCATGAATTTTTCATTAAAATGTTTTTCTTTACAAAATGAAAATGTTCAACAAGTTGGAATTAATACACCTATAAAGTAACTATTTCCATGTTCAACTTGAAAATTGATGATCTGAGAATTGATGGGATTGTAAAAAAAAAATTCATACCAGAATGCAGCTAGACCTAATGCCAGTTTGCTAAATCAATGCCTAAATAGGTGTTTGATTATTGGTTAACCTGTTTCTTTGGAATAACCTTCACGATAATACTAAAAATGTTTATTAAGGGAGTAAATCGGTCCATTTTGAATTCTTGTGGACATTATGATGCATGAAGAATCATTTAATGTTAGCATTTGTTGATGCATAATCCCAAAACTTAAGGTGTATTCACACCAGGAAAGTCCGCTAGTTCACTTGCTTTGGTCCGGACCAAATACAATGTTGTTTTTTTTTGTTTGGTGCGGCTCGCTTTCACACTGCACTTTTTTGCAAGTGAACCAGAAATTGTAAACAAAACCACAGGTCAGCTAAGGTCGTCCATTCATTGGACAGAAATTCTCAAGCAGGGAAAAACAGGAAGTGCAAAAACAGGCTAATCATGGCGATCTTTCGTATTGATCTTTTCATAGATTTGGTGTTATCAGATACTAACGCAATATGAAGAAACTTATGAGCATCATATGAGACTATGTCATACGATGTTGTAATTACGACATGCCGAAAATAAAATCTATAGATATAAAATACTTAAAGCATATCACAATGTTAGTTTAAACATTTAACCTAGATAAATGTGCGCTATTAGGCGCATATCCAATCGTTTGTGCAGTGGGGCAAAAGAGTGGAAGCTGAAGCGCGCTTCAGGACATCAGCAGAAAAATTAAATACGACCTCATTTTTGCTCATACAGGTAAGAATAATACATCGTTCGGAACTGTACTATCTATTTTTATTTGCGTACACTCACAATATCAAGAAAACGTTGTGCTTTTGTAAAATAAAGAAAACAAATAGAATGCACTTGTCTCGGTCTTGTACAGGAGCACTTCACAAAAATGCACCGAAACTCAGCGAATATTTTCCTTATAGACATGATGAATATATCTATAGAAAGCTTTAAATTAATACAAAACAAAATTATTCAAATCCAAAACAAAAACTCTTATTATTATTATTATGTAATCAGTAAAGATTAATTTCTTTCTAAAGGTGCGTCCAATAATGAGATGGCAAGTCAGGATCATCAACTTCATTGCGACACTGACTCATAAAACACTAGTTTATTAATAAATAATTCAAATATCTCCTTACTATTTTCCCCCAACATAGTCATGGTAATTTTTGCAGCAAGCTTTAGCCTATTTAGCGCGCTCACATCACGTTACTGTGCGCCATGGTCAGGAAAACTCATAATTTGCATGTGTTTTTAAGCATTGTGGTTTAAAAACAAGTGATTTAAGCCATTGAAACGCAAATAACAGCACTATATGTGCGAGTTGTCTGTTTCTAAACGTGATTTCTGCAATTGGGTCGGCTCGAGGTCGGGTCATATTCACACCTTAAACGAACCGTACCAGAGTTCGTTTGGAAGCGGACCGAGACCACCCCTTCAGCTGGGTCTCGGCGCGATTGTTGTATTCACACCTGCCAAAAAGGTCCGCACCAAGAGGGGAAACGAACTTGAGTTCGATTCAATCGAACCAAACAAGACTGAATACACCCTTAGACTTACTTCACCTTGTTCTTTCAGAAGAAACATTCATACACTACTGTTTAAAAGTTTGGGGTCTGTATTATTTTTTTATGTTTTTAAAAGTAGTCTCTTCTGCTCACTAACCAAGGCATTTATTTAATCTAAAATACAGCAAAAACAGTAATGTTATGAAATATTATTACAATTTAAAATATGTTTTATATTGGAATATATTGTAAAATGTAAATTATTTCTGTGATCAAAGCTGAATGTTCAGCATCATTACTCCAGTCTTCAGTGTCAAATGATCTTCAGAAATCATTCTGATATACTGATTTGCTGCTCAAGAAACACTTATTATTATCAGTGTAACAGTTGTGCTGCTTCATATTTTTGTGGAAACCGTGATAAATTTTTTCAGGATTCTTTGAAGAATAGGAAGTTCAATAGAACAACATTTATTTGAAATATAAATCTTTTGTAACATGTTTTTACTGCCACTTTTTGATCAATTTAATGCATCTTTGCTGAATAAAAGTATTAGTTCCTTAAAAAAAACGTATTTGCTATTGTTTTAAACTCTTTGTAGCTTCTAATCATTTGTATGTGCAGTAATGCTGTCATTTATCCTCTGTGATTGGACCCGCAGAACTGCGCTGCACATCGCTTGTGCCTGCGGACACAGAGATGTGGTTCAGTTCTTGGTGGAGAGCAAAGTGAAGCTGAACTTATGCGACAATCAGAACCGCTCTGCCTTAATGAAGGTACACTCCGCTTGTTCTTGTGAAATCATATTCGTATAGATACATGCTGACTGGCATGTCTTTGTGGTTATGCATGTCTTGTAGGCGGTTCAGTGTGAACAAGACCGCTCTGTCTCTTTGCTCCTGGACCATGAGGCTGACCCCAACCTGGTGGACATCAATGGAAACACGGCACTGCACCTGGCCGCCCGTATCCCCTCCCTACCTGTGACGCTGCAGCTCCTGGAGCACTCAGCCAACATCAATGTGCAGAACAAGGTGAAACTTTAGTGTTCCGACAGATTATTACAGTATTAACCACACACAGCACATGTCTGATACATAAAGATGAAGTGTTTCATTTCTGCAGTGCCAAATTGCAGAAATAATAGACTACTTAGTGCATACTGCATAATATACACTAAAATGCTTACTCCTAACATTGGTTGAGCCAGAAGTTCATCCTTCAGATAAGGATGCACTTATAAACCAAAAGTGATCGTCTTGTGCGTTGAAAGGTAAGATAGTTAATGCAGTCCAGTCTTGTTTTGTTGTGGTTTGATTGGCAGGATGGCAACACTCCACTGATGCTGGCTGTGATGGAAAACCATGCAGACATGACGGAGCTTTTATTGAAAGAGGGAGCAGATGTTAATGTCAAGAACCAGGAGCAACGGTAAGAAAGACGCCCTTTAATGGATTAGTTCATCCAAAAGTGAAAGTTCTGTAGTCATCTTGGTATGTGTGCATTTAGGAGATATGGTGGAGAAATTTTATGAAATTGTCTTTTCAGCAAAAGTAATAATCAATCAGGAATAATAGTACTGATAAATAAATGGATAAATGAACAACAATTGATTTGTAATCCAAATAAACTAAGTGATTCACCTAGATATTATTTTAGTGTCGTTACTGTCTTATTATTTATTAATATTTTGAATTAGTTTTAATTTAGTTTTCTCATTTTTGTAATTTGTTGTACATTTCAGTTATTTTTATTAATTTGTTATTTTGTTATTGTTGTATTTGTTTTTATTATGTTTTTTTCAGTTGTAGTTTTTTTTATAATTTTGTTTTAGTAATTTTTTGTTATTGTATTATTGTTATATTGTTATTATATTTGTTTTTGTTTAGTGTTTTAATTATTTTACTTCAGTTTTAGTAATTTCAGTGCTTAAAGCAGAATGGAAATGAAAAATGTCTTTGCAATTTTTTGTCTATTCTGTTTTGTTAACAAATGTTTTCTAGTATTTTTAGTTTCACTGATTGGCATTCTGTCTGTCATTGTTAAGGTCTGCGTTGATGATAGCTGCATGCAATGGACAAATCAGCATGGTGCGTTTGCTCCTGCAGTACGATGCCGACATTACAGTGAAAGATGATAAGGGCTGGTCTTCTGATGATTATGCCGTCATGAATGGACATCACGCGTAAGGGCTTTCTTCTTTTGCCTGCTTATATTTCATACTCACCATCTGATTTTAAATATAAAGTCCTTACTTTGTTTGTATGTTGGTTTCGCAATTAATGTTGGCAATTTGTGTTGCTATTACCTGTTTTAATTCATTGTAAGTTAGGAACATTTGAAATGGTGATAGCGATATGTTCACACTGGCAATGTTTTGTTAATGGAAATGCACTGCAGATGTTGTGTGGTTTTAAAACAGAAAGCTTTGTTTGAAGCACTAGCTCATCAGTAATCGTTCTGTTCCAGATGTTCACATCTGATTATTGAGCATGGGACGAAGAGAAGATCCCTTCAGTCACCTTCCCATTTCACTGCCAGCAAAAAGAAACAGACGTCTGTGCTCGGCAGCCCTGGTGGTATTGGGGCTGGTTTGGCTTTGGGAGGACCAGCTCTGGATAAAGATGGTGAGTCTAATTGTGTTTTACTCGATTTGCATAATTCAAGGTTTTCAGTGTCATCTGTATATGTACGTCAGTATTGCTGCAGTGTTGACTGCAGTGTTTTGATTTGGTTCTGTTTCCCCGTTGTTACTCCACACTCATCTGTTGTAGCAGCAGGAAGCAGCTCCGCAGGAGCAAGGAAAGGTATTGCCAATGTGTGCCAATCGATGTGCTGTAGATCAGACACATTATTCTTTACCTTTTCAGAGATTAAAGGAATAGTTCACCCAAAAATGAAAATTTGCTGAAAATGTACTCAACTTTAGGCCATCCAGGATATAGGTGAGTTTGTTTCTTCATCAGAACAGATCTGAAGAAATGTAGTGTTACATCACTTGCTCACCAGTGGATCCTCTGCAGTGAATGGGTGCCGTCAGAATGAGAGTCCAAATAGCTGATAAAAACATCACAATAATCCACAAGTAATCCACACCACTCCAGTCCATCAGTTAACATCTCGAGAAGCGAAAAGCTGCATGTTTGTAAGAAACAAATCCATCATTTAGACTTTTAAAATACGTCCTCTACCCATAATATTGCTTCCACCTGTGAAAAAGTCATCGCTTCTGAATCAGAATCCAGAACAGCTCTATGTTGATGGATTTTGATGTGAGAGGACAACATGGTATGGACTTTTCCGCTGGAGGAGGTGTGATTATGGATTATTTTGACCAGAAGCAATGGTTTAAAGTTAATACACCTTGATGGATTTGTTTCTTACAATCATGCAGCATTTTGCTTCTCAGTAAATTAACTGATAGACTGGAGTGGTGTGGATTATTGTGATCTTCTTATAATCTGTTTGGACTCTCATTCTGACGGCACCCATTCACTGCAGAGGATCCAATGGTGAGCAAGTGATGGAATACTGTAACAATCTCCAAATCTGTTCCAATGAGCTCATCTCGGATGGCCTGAGGGTGAGTACATTTTCAGCCAATCTTTATTTTTCTGTGAACTATTCCTTTAAAACACTAATCTCCAAATCTGTTCCAATGAGCTCATCTCGGGGGTGAGTACATTTGTACATTGAGTATCTACATTGAGGGTGAGTACATTTTCAGCCAATCTTTATTTTTCTGTGAACTATTCCTTTAAAACACAATATTAAGAGTCGTATGAAATAATTTAATGTTGCTGAATGGTAAACCATGGTATGTCTTGTCATAGGAGCTGTTCTTCTTTGTGTGTTGTACGCTAGAGTAAATAAGACCTATTGACACCTGAAATTAAGTTAAAAAAAATGAGACTGGGTGAAAAAAAATCCAGTCTTTAACTATTTAAATAAAAAAAGGCCTACAGCTCAGCAGACAATGCAAATGTAATGTAATTTAATGTAAAAGTAATGTTTTACTTATGTAATGTACTTCAATGTATTTTAAGGCAATTGTCACTCACTCTTTAATGCTGTGATATAGAAGTATACTGTAATAGCTGTACAGATGTTGTGGTGATATATATTAAACATAGTCTCACTTTATCAGTAAATGCTTGCGGTCAAACTGCTTTTTGCTCTGCATCTATGTAGAATATGTAATCGGTTTTAGATACTTGAGCCAAATGCTTATTGGTCTTAACCCATTGGTATTTTTGGAGTGTTTTGCCAAACAAATGAGAAAAAAATGATAAAAACATAATTTATCGGTGTGAATAGGTCTGTAGGAATGCATTGTTTCACCACAAAATTAATATTCTCTCTAATTGTGAATGGGTCTTTAGAACTCTAGTTAGCTATACTGCAAGAAAATGTTTGTATTAGCAATGGGTAATTTTTTGGCTAGACTGTATCTTGTCTTAAGCGCAGATAATCTCTTTTATTTCTCTCCTCAGATACAGAGGACCATTCTCACACAGAATCTATTAGCAGGTGAGATGTCATTGATATGTCAAAACAGGAATGGGAGATAAAAGCAGCTACAAATGAAAAGTTTATCAAGCACTACATTGTGTTCATTTGCAGGGCATCAAAAAGTGGTGCTGCTGATTCCTGGCCTTCATCAGATGATGATGATGATGATGATGATGAGTTAGATTTGAGCCCAAAGGTATTTCTAAGCTCTGTTGTGTTGTGCATGACAACAGTTCTGAATAGCACATGTGAAATTGATTACAAAATATTGTAATAAAACTTTTTTTTACAGAAACAGAAAGTAAACTTGAAGCAACTCATAAGCACCACAAAAAGGGAAAAAGTAGAAGGTAAGTTTTAAATGTAAATGTTTTTGTGAAGTCTTTCAGAATTGTGGTTGTGCTGTAATTTGAAACCCTTTCCCTGTAGCAAAGTCCCATTAAGGCAAGGCAGTCCCATTAGGTGGCCGTCTTGGCAAGGCTCACTGGTAGCTATTTTATATATAGGTAATAGGCAGGCAAACACTGCTGTTCTCTACTTGAATGGGGAAAGACTGAAATGTTTAAAATGTTTGGCTAAGCTGTTACAGTAATATTTCAAATCAACAATTTAAAAAAAATCTAAAAGGGTCCATTGAGCATTGTGATATGCTGTCTCTGTCTGTAGTCATAGCGGATCAGGATGCAGACAAATCCTGGAGCGGATCAGAGTCCGAACCGGACAGTGAGAATAAGGGTGCAATCCGCCCTCCACTGTCTAAACCACTCCCATTCAGCAGCACCTCCCTCCACCCCCCTGTAGCAACCCCACCTGCCTCTTTACCCCACCCACCCCAGATGAGCTCCACCCCCTTCAGCAGCACCCTTAAGGTAACCCTCACTGTGTCTCTTTGTGGTACATTGTCTAACTCTTCTCTTCTTTATTGTTTTCATTCAACCCAATCCACCCTGCCATATCAGGTGGGCAGAGTGAGTTAAAAGAGCTGCCTTCTGGCAGTAAACTAGATGTGGAAGGCAATGAAAGTCCAGAGGACGAATCTGAAGAAGGTGAAGATGATGAAGGTGAGGATGACGATGGTGAAGAAGAAGAAGAAGAAGAAGAGGAGGAGGGAGAAGATGATGATGATGATGAAAACGATGAAAATGAAGATGATGAAGAAGATGATGATGAAGAGGGAGATGAACAAGAAGAAACTGCTGTGGCTTGCGAGACAACAGGCCTTCCTGGGTTGCCCAAAACCGTGGCTATTGGTACAACAGAGCAATCAGAAATGGCTAATGAAAATGTCTACCAACCTGGATGGGACATGATGGAGGATAGTGTCTCAGGAGATAGTCCTCTGAAGGTCAGAACATATCAAGAAGAAGAGGCTTCAGAAAAAATGGACATGAAAGAAACAATTTCTGAAAAGATGCTTTTTGGAGGTCTAATTCCAGGGATTCTCAATTTAGAGGATGGCTGTCTTGTGTCAGCTGTCAGTTTCGAGGCGAGATTCTCTGATGAGGAGGACAACAAGGAGGCCAATGATAGTCCAAGTCCTCCCGCAGAATGTGAAACTTCTTTACCAAGTGTGGACAGAACATCAAACAGAAATCCAGTTGAGAGCAAGAATGAAAACCAAAGTGATGATGATGTTTGGGAGGATGATGACGATGAAGATGAGGAGCTGTTGAAAACTGAGAAGAACATTTTAGAAGTGGAGCCTTCTCAGGGGACAGCCATTGAATGTGATCCACAACTCCTAGATGAAACTGATGATGTTCCTCTAGGACAAAATGAAGGAATAACTGATCTTGACACCAGCAATCTGGATGTGCCTTCAGCATCACCTAAGTCAAAGGCTGTAACTACTGCAGATGATGATGAGGATGATTGGGATGATGTTGATGAGGAAGAAGAAGTGCAAACAAAGATGCCACTGAACCTATTTCTGACATTGCTGGGACAGAAGGAACCAGAGAGCCCTGAGGTATCTTGGGAGTCTGGCTCAGACAAAAGTGATGGGATGTCTGAAGGAGATAAGGAATCAAACATGGAGATGCCAAATGCAGAAAAAGACCAAAATCAAGAGGCTTTGGTTCAGGACGACAACACTTCAAGGGCATCTTTAGAACCCATTGAGCACCTTTCCCAGAGTCCTTTACATGAAGAACCTGGGTGCATTGATCAGAGTGATGACAGTGGAGCTATACCAGTGTCCATGATTGTTGGTCAAAGTGATGAAGACCAGAGTATAAGTCAAGAGCACGACAGCCAAGTGAAGCAAATGCAGTATGACTTTGCAAGCGGCTCGGTCAAGGTTTCTGAAATAGATCAGATCTCTGATGTCTCTGACAATGAATCTCTGTCTGAAGAATATGATGTATGTATTAATGATGCAGATCTACCACAGGCTTCATATCTCTCCAATAGTAGCCCAAAATGTTCTGCCACTTCAAGTCCAGCACAATTTGAAAAACCATTGTTGATGAGATCTCTCTCAAATAGCCCCAAACCATTAAATGCAATGAGCCCCGTTCCAACAAGTCCTAGTCCTAAACACGCACCAAGTCCAAGGCAATCTGCTGGACTCTGTCATCAACATTCAACTGCAACTAGTCCACAAAACTCAAGTTCCTCAAACCACTCACCAAGTCCCCTACATTGTAGTCCATCAACTCCAATGATTGTCCATCTGGATCAAGACTCACAGGACATGATCAAATCTACAAATCCAGAATCTCCTCAACATTCAAGCCCTGACTCTCAAGTTGAGGATGACCTTTCCGTAGAGTTCGCAGATGAACGCTCAACAGAGGTGATTGAACCAGAACCAGCTCTTCAAGAAGAAATCCCCTACACCGTCATAGATGAAGTTGATCTCACTTCTGATTCTGATGAAGATGATGGTGAGGAACAACTTGAGAAGTTGCATGAACAGAACTCTGTAAATAAATCTGTAATGGAAGAAAGACGTTCAAAGCACGGATCATTGCAGGTACTCAGGAGACGATGGCTAGAATAGCCATAGCTTGTGGATAGAAGTGGTTTGTAGTTATAGTTTCTAGATGTGGATAGGATACAAACACTGAAGATGCAACTGAAAATCCCACTTGTTTTGTCTTTTATTCTTTTATGTATCTAATCTCGTTGAAGTACACCACTTCTATGCTAACAATTTATTCTGGTTTGAGTGTAAAATGTAAAATGGTTTGCAACTCATCTTCTTCGAACAGGAAGAGGCCTCCACAGAAGATGAGGAAGAGGAGGATGAGAGGGAAGAACCGGAGGAAATGTGTGAAAAGGCTAAAGATCCTCAAAATGGTGGTACTAGCAAAGAAAAGCGAAGAGGTACATTTTCATCCTTTATGGATTTTACCGTCAAGTTTATGGCATTTAGTGACCATAAACAGGTATATAATGTATTACATGACCATATATATAACATTCTTTGCATGTTTTTCTAGATTTCCTTTCAGAATTGGGACTCGAAAAGGAAGATGAAAATGACGACTCTCCCTGGGATTCAGAGGTCAGTCACAAGACATATTAAACAAAGCAAAGCTGGTGAAATCTCCATACAGTAATGCAGTTTATACACACAATCACCCTAAATCAGGGTTTCCCCAACCTACAGGTTAGAAAACACAAACAGGTTAGTGATGGAACTGCAATGGGTCAGTGGAATTGTGATAATTAATTATCAAATATAAATGAAAAAAAACAAAAACAGGTTGTGGTCCTCTGTTCTAAGGTCACCTGTGACCACATTTCATCCTGATATGTTCTCTCTTTTTTCCCTCGCAGTCTGGTTCTGAGAGCCCACGAAAGAAACAGGCCAGTGCTCCACACACTCCTGCCAAATCACATAGATCTATGTCCAGTATTTATGAGGAGTATACTGAAGGTATGTAAGCCATTTCTAGTGTTTTTTTTTTACTACATAAAAATATGATTGCATTTTAGAATGCTTTGTCTGTGTAGCCTTCTGCAACCATTTCATGCTTAAAAAAATGCAAAAGATTGACATTTTCCATTGCTTCTGCTTAACAGATGTTTTTACAAGACTTGCTATGCTAAATTATGCAAAGTTTAGGTTATTTGTAGATTTGCATTTTATAATCTCATTGAATTCCTTTGTAGACTTCTTATACGTCCCCTCCTTCGTAAGAGGAGGGAGGAACGTTAATTTATTGAGAAGTATAGGCCAGCCAGGAGGCTGCAGGCCGATGGGTAGGCATTCATGATTTGCTGTTGTCCTGCTGGATTAATCATCACCGTTATAGCCGTCACATTAACATCTTGTCCTCGTATCCTGATGATATGAATCTGTTGTCATCTGTGCATTCAAGGCATGTGATGTGACACGGAATGATGCTCAACTAATACATGCTTTAGTGGGGAAGGCCCATCGTTGTTGCTCATGTTTACAAGATGAGTTTATTGAAATGAACATTTACTGAACTGTTCCCTTTATTGTGTTTGAGTATTTAGCCACTCTCAAACCCCAGATCACAGGCATCATGGGAGACCTCCATCGCTGCATGTGCATGCCTGCGCACTCGCTACATGGAAGCTTGTCTTTGTCCATTGATTTTCATGTTTTTTGAGGAGAGTTTTGAACCTTGTCCCTTCTTGCCTTTCAGTTTTAAGAAAGGATGAGGATGATGAAGAAGAGAAGGAAACTGAAATACCAGTAAGTATCATTTTGAAATTACTGGAAGTTATTGAGCTTGAATTGCATTTCATGAAGAACTAATGTTTGCAATGCCGTTTTTGGTAAAATGCATGAATGATTAGATTGTCAATAAAGCAGCGTCAGCTGAATTAATTGAAAGAAAAAAACCCCACTTTGCTGCCCTGCAATGTTAATTCTATTAATATTAAATATTGATATATTAATATTAATTATATCAACATATATATTATTATTATTTGTATTTATTTTTTTAAAATATCATGTCATATAGTAGAGAAAGGCGCACAATTTTCAGGGAATACATGTACTGATTAAAAATATTTATGGCAATTTTTATCCAAATAGTTTTGGATAAAGCCATCTATCAAATGCATAAATGTCAAAATATATATTTTTTTACTTTTGAATTTTATATTTAATGCATCTTTTTTTCACAGCCTAAAGTGGTCAAAAGAGAGATCGCGTCTGTTCTTAGTAAGCTGATGGATTCAAAAGAAGCTAATAAGAAAACAGGTCATCTCATTTTTTTAACACAACAATTAAATTATATTCTTACGTGTTTGACTTCTCATTTAAACATCTCTGTTCTTACAGATCTGATGGAAGAGCTTGGTTTGGGGGATGCTGATGATCTTGAAGGTAATCTTGATGTTCTTCCTTGATTAAAACATTTCCTGAATCCTTCCTGAATCAAATTTTGCATGTTTTGTATGTCTGATGTGTTCATGCTTTTGTCTTAATTTACACAAAATTAAATCACCAATGCCCTCCAGATCAGATACTCAAACACTTATGCTCATTTATAGTTCTGCTGATCCTTGCTAATATCAAAGCCAGGGCCTAGCAGTTAGTGCACATGCAATGGGCGACACGAGTTTCATTTCAGTCAGAATGTCGATGAAAAGTGTTCCACACTGGCTATGAAGATATTCTCATTTAGGTCTGCATTTATCATTTATTTGCTCTGCCTCTCATAGATGCTTCAGACTGGGACTCTGCCAGCACCACCAGTAAGGCCAGTAAGAAATTCCCAGTTCATAAGCTGGATGAGGAACCCGTCTTTGAAAGCCCAGCAGCTTCCGGACTTCCCATAACATCCGAGGAACAGGGCGTGGACACCAGAGAACATAAAGAAGCCAGTCCAGAGAGAAACAAACCCACAACCTCAAGCACAACACCTCTACCTAGTCCACGATCTCTCAACCCAAACGCCAGCTCAAAACCACTGCCACTGCCACGACTGCGCTTGGACTCCAATCAGAGGCCGGAGAGTGAAGGTAGAACTCAGAAACTACAAATCTTAGATTTATTCTCTTAGCTTTTGAGGTGATTTCAATAAATATATATGCTGATACAAAATTGATTTAAATACAGAATCGGACTGGGATTTGGAAACTTCCAGTCCAGCCAAGATGACAAATTCACTGCCAAATGTCGCTGAGCCTGATACAGGTAAATCTCTTCAATGTGAGGGTGAATGTTCAGGGTTTACTATACTTCTCACTGTATTTTATATTATGTTGTAATGTGTCTGAATTTCTCTTCAGTTAATCGGCAGGAACCCAAAGCTGAAGATGTCGAGAGTGAAGACAGTTCTTACGCAAGTGAAGATGCAGCTCAGGTGGGCAATTCATAGAATAAACAAGCTCTGTGGATTCTGCCAACTTTAAATAAATTAATAATAAAATAAACATAAAAATCTGATTAAGCATTTCATTATTGAAAATGTCTGCAAACTATGTGCCAGAATTAAAAATAAAACTAAATTAAATGATTTTCATATCATTTTCATTTAAGAATTTTTAAAAAAAGTTGAAGTTGCTATTTCTTTTTCACATTTGCCATTTTATTTTAATATTGCATTTAATTGCATTTAGGATTGCAATTAAATTTCATGTAATTTGATAGGGATGATGCATTGTTACTGTGAAAAATTACAGTATATTTAATACGACTTATGAAACGCTTAATCAGATTTTCATTTTATTAATTTATTTTAAATTGAAAGAATCTGCCTTTCATAAAACTTTAAAAAGTTGAAGTTGCTATTTCTTTTTCACATTTGCCATTTTATTTTAATATTGCATTTAATTGCATTTAGGATTGCAATTAAATTTCATGTAATTTGATAGGGATGATGCATTGTGTTACTGTGAAAAATTAGAGTATATTTAATACGACTTATGAAACGCTTAATCAGATTTTCATTTTATTAATTTATTTTAAATTGAAAGAATCTGCCTTTCATAAAACTCTGCCTCTTCTTACTAAATTAAGTGTTGAAAATAGAGTCTTAGTTTTGCCCTAGTGGTAACTGGAAGCTCCAGTGATGTAGATTTGGTCTTTAATGTCACTATATGTTTCCTTTGTGCTTTATTTGAGTTAAATGTGGTGTTTGTGACAGTGATACAGTTTAATTGTTGGCACGAGTCATGTGCATGTGTCTCAAGTTTGGTCTGAAGTCCTTGTCAACCAGACTTGTTGGGTTTTTCATTGTTAATTCTATTATTTTGTCTAATTGTGCAAACAAAGGCAAGAGAGGCATTACAAGCGTCTTCTGTAGACATAACTAGGCCATCTAACCTTGAACCACTGGAGCGCCCAACCTCTCCTAGAGAGGACGAACAAGAGGAGAAAGCTGATGAGATTCCCTGGGAGGAACGCTATGAGAAAATATGGGTGGAGAACAACAAAAAGGAGACCAAGTCCCAATACAGAAACGTGGCTGCTGAACTAAAAGAGAGGTTCGGAGAACTGGAGCACAAAGAACCACTGAGTGACCTTTCGGAGCAGGAGTGGAAAGAAGATGAACAAGGTGATGAAGAGGAAAAGAAAGAGCTGGAAAAGGAAGCAGATGACGAAGATTCCAGTGAGGAAGAGGGAGAGTCAATAGTGCGGCCCATCGCCCGGGCGAGAAGTGCCATACTTTTGCCCATCCCAGAGCAGAGAGAGTCCAGCCTGGAGGACTCGCAGTCTGAAAGTGTCCACCGCACGGTTAGTGTTGAGGTCAGCGATGCAGAGCTTCCCAGTGACCAACACAACCCTCAAATCATCCCAGAAGCCCTAACGGATGAGGCCCAGGAGCCAGAGAACCGAACAAATAACACAGAGGAACCTGAGAGTGGAAGCAAAGATAAGTGTCCACTAGAATCTGCAAGCGAAAAAGAACCTGAAGAACTTCACAGACCTACATTACTTGTTGAGAATGAGCTACAAGTCCCACCCAAAGTTCTAGAAGTGCTCTCTTCTGACTCCAACAAGGTTGATGAGGGCCTGTGGAAGTCCAGACTTGAGGTAGGACCCCGGGAGGAGTCTCAGACAAACTTGTGTAACGAATGAAGACTTACAGTGATGCCTCTGTCTTCTTGTTCCTCATTCACATAAACTCAAAATGTGAGGGAAAAGCTCCAGCTTCAAAATCAAAACCGTCTGTTAGTCATCTTGTAATGCTGACCAGACACTGACGGGCTAAATTACACAACTGTTCCCTATCTCTGGTTCTGCCAGTCATTAGCTCTGTTCCAAACCTAGTGAGCTGCCTACCCAGACAGCATTTTAAGACATGACATGCTCCTTCTGACATGACATGTTAATTATGTTGCCTCCTGAGATGCCTTGTAATTTTAAATTAGCAAATATTAGCATTTTATACAGTATTGAAAGTCTTGAAAAAAGTTCTAAATCAATCTAATTAAACTCGTTATTTGTATGTTCTATGTATTTTTATCCTTATTAGCGTTTTGTGTCATTAGCTTAGCAACATGCTAACTCTTGAATGCAGTGCAGCTAATTTAACGCATTTATATTTTATACAGTACTGAAAGTATGGCTAAAATAGTTCTGAATTAAACCCATTATTTGTGTGTTTTATGGGCTTTTATACTTATTAGAGTTACATGTCGTTAGCTTAGCAAAGTCAGTTGTGAACAGTCTCCCGTGTGCTTTATATAGCAGCTTTCTGCCTATATAAAACCTTTCAAATCAGTCATTTATGATATTCTATGATGGTTATCATGGTACCTTAGAAGGCAGCTACTTATGTAGGCAGTAGTCAGCGAGGCAGCACGCTAGTTTTTGAAAAAGAGCTATTATCTTGTGTTGTCAACATTTTTTGTATCATCATTCAACATAATTTCAACTCATTTCACAATGTTTTCAAATCATTAACATTCTTCATGCATTTTAACACCCCATGAAATCAGTGTTTTTAGAATTACATATATACTATTATAGCATTTATTAATATTTTGAATGAGCTTCTATTTTTATATTTTCGTTTTTTAATTTAATAGTTAATGTTTAAATAATTTAGTTTTTTGCTTTTGTCATACGTTTTTCTGTTTAGCTTTGATGGATTTTTATTTCCGTTTGAATTGTATTAATTTTAGTACTTCGACTTAAAACGTATTTTCATTTCCTTATTTTCAAGTTTTTTAAGTTTAGGTTTTTCATCTAATATTTAGATTTTATTTTATTTAATCTATTTAAATTGCTGTAAAGGATTTTTGCTAGTTGTAGTTAACAAAAACAGCACTGCATGAAATAGACAAACACATTGTTATTTTGTGTATTCATGCTTGGGAAGTTGGGAAAGCATACATCATATTGTTTTAATAGCCATCCTTTCGTTTAAATAATAGCCTGAGGAAAAATATGGTTTGGGCTGCGTTTATAATGAGCTTTGCTCACTGTGCAACAATAGATGTGTTTCTTTCTATCTTTCTAATGCTTTACTGAACTTTTAGGGGCATTTGAAAAGTGAATGTTCTACAAAGCTCTAAGTTTGATTTCATGGGGTCTTCAGTTGTCTCGTCTTGTCCTGTATGTGTTTTAACTTGTGTGACCTGACCAGCACTTGTCTTGAATCCAGTCTGTCACTTTATTAAATATTTAGTGGTTAATTTTATGCACTGGTGTCAAATGCTTCACTTGGGTGTCAGTTCACACCTGATATGTGCATCTGTCGTGTGCATGTGTGCCAAGGATTGCTTCCTTTAGCTGTCTGAAGATCTCTCTTCATCCTCCTGAAGATCTGTCATACTAGTGTGTTTTCATGATGTGTCTCAACCCAGAACTTCTCCGTTGATGTTGGCTTGAAGTGTGTTTTATGTTTCTAGTGCTTCTTTTTAAATAAGAAAAGAAGACATTGTGTGGTGTTTTGCTCAGTTTTGTCTCGTATGTGACAGTTATCTGAATGTTTTGCATGATCAGTTGACTAAATCAATACATTCATACACATTTCCCAGAAGTAGTTTTAAATCTAGAATTTCCTTATGCTCTTAGAGTAATGATTATATGCATACATTAAAGATGATTTTAGCTCTCTCAACACATAATATCTTCTGTTTTAGGGTAATAAGGAACAGTTGGATGGTATGAGGGGAGAACAGCAGCCCAGTGCTTTATGGGATACTAGAGGAACCAGAGAACGAGGTGAACTTGACCAAGGAGAAGGGAAGGAAACTGACAACAACTCTGGGAACCCGAAACCTCAACAGGAAGGGATGGCTGACGGCAGGTCTTTGGGAAGAGAGGGTAGTGTTTCACCAAGACATCTGACAAGAAGTCCAAGAAGGTACATATGTTGCATTACTAGATGGAATTAATGTGAAGGGAGATGTTTTTGTGATCCAATCACGTTGAAGAACTTTATTTTATTTGATCCTTTTATCCTTTAACTGTGCATGAACTATTTTATTTTAAAGGGGTCATATGACGTTGCTAAAAAGAACATTATTTTGTGTATTTGTAATGCAATGTGTTTATGTGGATTAAGGTTAAAAAAAAAAACACATTATTTTCCACATAATGTACATTATTGTTTCTCCTCTATACAACGAAACACACAGCGTCTCCACGACATGGCGGCAGCAGCAACAGCGAGAATAAAAGTTACGCCGCCTTTCTTTTGTGAACATTTGGGCGGCGTTATGCAAACGAGCCGTTTTGGGTAGGCATGGCTGACTCTTAACTTTTATAAAGAATATCTCTTTGGATTTGAGACTTTAGTCTTTGCAACTTTACAGATCTTCTTTATGCACCAAGAGATTGTAACACTCCAAAGAGAAAGGAAGAATTGAAATGGCATCATATGACCCCTTTAAAAATTACTGAAAAAAATACTGAAGACACCTTAAAGCAAAGAGCTTTCAGCAAACAGCCATGGGTGATAGATCAATACACATTTTTACAAAAAAAATGTCATTCTATTTCTAAAGTATATGCATGTATAAAAAACAATGTCTATAGTCATGACATACAAGTATTGTGTTATTTTTATTTTGTCAGTTATGTTTCATGCTAATGGAAAATATTCATCAGGCTTTTGCTGAAGCTTTGAATTTGCTTCTGGTGTCATCATTGCTGTTTCCCTGGTGGAGGGCGTGCAGTTGCCTTTTTTTATTTTTTATCTTTCATTTTAAATTCATGATGAGATCTGTGCACCTCCAGTACTGACAGGGCACGACCACATGGTGAGGAAGACGAAGAGGAGGAAAAGAAAACTGTAGGTAGCCAAGCCAGAAATCTCCATGTAGCTCCTCCTCTGCAGGGCAAACCCTCCCGACCTGCGACCCACCATAACGGAGACCTCGAGTCTGTTTTTGATGATAGTACTTTAAGTGAGCTATCGGAAGAGGACAGGAGGTATACATGCAGTATTTACATGCTTTTTAATGTAATATATTATTTATAGCTCGATTTTATCTGTTGCAATGTTGCAGCAGCAACATTATAAGCATAACTGGGCCTGCACAGAATCTGTGCCCACAGAATTCAACCAGATTTGAGCACCTGTAATATTTACACCTGTAATACTTGCACCCACAATCAGTGTTGAATAAATGAAAGCAAATGAAAAGCGGGCAGATTCCATATGGGCCTTGTTATAACGTTTAATTTTTAAAAAGAGAATACTGCATTATATCCTCATTTTAGAGCACCAAACTTGCTCTCCGGTAGACTGGTGTTATCTGATAAAGCATAAAATCATGTTTTTTCTTTGTACCAACAGGTCCCCTTCTTCAAGGCGTAAGAAAGAGCAGGTGAGCTTTTGTCTTAATAAGGTAAACCTCCAAGTGTTCGTTTAAGGGTTTGTTTAAGACAGTGGTTACCAAACTGTGCACTGACTTTTGAGAATATGAAGGAAAATGTTACTCATAAATTTACCAGTTTAACACAGGATACTCTGTGTTACACATGTGTTGTATTGACTTTATTGTCTCCTATGCAGAGTACTGGAGAACTGGAGATGGCGGATGATTTTGAAGATCTCACCCAGTCTTCTGACACAGCCACTGAGGAGCTGGAGACTCCAGTATCTGGATACCACAATGCATCTCTGCTCTTCAAACAGCTCGACTCCAGCTATCTGGGTGAGTCAGTCAGCTGAAAGCAAACAGTTAAGTTCAGATGTTCAGCAAATGAAGATGTTCGCCTGTATCTTATGTCCTGCAGACTCTGTGAGTGTGGTGAAACTACAGAACATGTTTCATGAGTACGAACGCACCATCCAGAGGGAGAGAGACAGACACAGCCGTCTGGCGGATAAAACCTCTCGGCTGGAGCAGGAACGCAACGAGTTCAAGATCCTGCTGGATGATATCAGAGGCAGCAAGTCCAGCCTAGAACATCTCAAACTGGAGCTGGAAACGGATATGAACAATCTCAAGTGAGCTTATCTCAGTGCATCTGCAACTCGTCAGGTTTTGTGACACTGACTCTCTCTTCTCTCTCTCTTCTCATGGAAGGTTCCTTTTGAGACAGGAACAGGAAAAGCATCAGAGTGCTCTCATGCTGTATAATAAAACCCGTGAGCAGCTCCAGAGGAAAGAGGAGCAGCAGCGAGCCGAGGCAGAGGAGTGTCACAAAGCCGAGCTGAAAGTCCGCAGTCTGGAACTGGAGATCAGAGCCCTAAAGAACAGCATTAAACAGGTCAACAGCAGCAGACTGTTAGATTTAGCTGGTAAAACCAGCTCATAACACAGTTTTCTCAGTGTTCTGAAGAGTGTGTTTGTGTGTTTAGCTTGAGGAGGACAGGGATGAGTCTCAGAGTCTTCTGTCTCATGAGCGCAGTGCTCGCGCCCTACAGGAGGAGTTACTCAACAACCACCTGCGTAAGCAGCAGAACATTGAGAAGGAGAACCTTCGAAACCTCAACAAGAGCAATGAGGTACCGCTGCCACCTTTTCAAAAACTTTGTCAGGGAATATTTATAAATGTGCTATTTCTGTTAGCAGCTAGCAAATTCATTGCAACTAACAAATGTATGTAGTCAAATATGCAGTGACGTCAGAGCTTTACAATCACACATGCAGCAATGTCATAACTAAATTGCACATGCTGTGATATAGCTTTAGTCAGATACGCTGTGATGTAATACAGTCACATTTGCAGTGATATCAGCTTAAAGGGATAGTTCACCCAAAAATTAAAATTGCCCCATGATTTACTCACACTCAAGCCATCCTAGGTGTATATGACTTTCTTCATTCAGACTAAGGCGATCGGATTTATATTAATAACTGTCCTGGGTCTTCCAACTTTTATAATGACAGTGAATGGGGGTCGATCCATCCATCATAAAATATGCTCCACACGGCTCCGGGGGGTTAATAAAGGCCTTCTGAAGTGGCTTTTTAATAAAACTCAGATTGTATTAGTCTGACACAAGAAAGTCATATACACCTAGAATGGCTTGAGTCAATTATAGTGATGTCATTGCTTTACAAACATATGCTGTGTCATCGTAGTTTTATGGCCACATATGCAGTGACATCATAGCTTTACAGTCAAATATGCAGTGATGTCATATCTTTACAATCACATATGCAGTGACATCTTAGCTTTGCAGCTTTTATCACATCCCATCTAAGAAACCATGAAAAGCACGTTAATAGAACAAATTACCAATATGCAGTTATATAATATCTTTGCAATCACATATGTAGTCACTTCATAGTTACATCATCGCTTTACAATATGCATAAGAAACCATGAATATGAACATAACTGAGAGCAAATTTAAGCAATATGCAGTGATGTTATATCATTGCAATCACATAAGCAGTGACGTCATAATTGAGCATAATTGAGAACAAATGACCAATATCCCTAAATCAAATATGTGAACTTCATGATTTAGGTTTACCGCATAAGCAGTGAACTAAAACACAGTTAGCAGATCTTCTGTGTAAACCCAATTGCTCTAATCCTGTTTGCTGGCATCTGATTGGTCAGATTTTCAGGCTTTATCCTAATGACCTGAATTTAGGCATTTACTTACTGTTACAGAGCCATTCACTCTTTTGCAACCAGGCCACATACTGTGTTGTTTTTTTAAAAAATGCTCAAATGTGTTTGTCGCATGTTAAACTGAGTTTATTACTGATGTTGTGCTCAGGCCATGTCCCAGCTTACAGAGGCATCGGACCGTGAGCGAGAGTTGATGCAACAAAACCGAGCCATACAGGATGAACTGAACGCCGCTCGGGCTGAGCTGGACCACTCACAGTGCCACAGCCGACAGGAAGAGTCACGGCTGGCGGAGGAGAGAGACGTCCTACGCGAGAGACTGGAGGATGCCCGCAGGGACATGAAACTGAGTGAGGAGGCCTTGGCTCAGACTGTGTTCCAGTACAACGGGCAGCTGAGCGCGCTGAAGGCCGAATGCTCAGTGATCACGGCTAAACGGGAGCACGAGAGGCAAGTGAGGCAGCAACTGGAGGCCGAGGCCGAGGCGAGCAGGGCACGACTGCAGGCGGCGCTGCAGGAGGCTGAGAGATGCCAGGTCAGCTTCAACTCATTTGTGCTAAACTAAAGGGAAAGGGATTTTGGGAACTGCTATCAATTTGTCTTTTATTATTGTTGCAACCTCTCAGGCATCACGCACAGATGCAGAGCGCACTCTGCAGCGAGATCGTGAGGAGCACCAGCGGGCACAGGAAAAGCACATCTTTGAGTCCAGTACACAACGGGACACCATCCAGTCCCTGTCCCAGAAGCTCAGCAAGGCCGAGGCGCGCGCCAACAGCCTGGAGAACGAGTGTCACCGCAATGCTCTGACCATCGCTGAGAAAGGCGTACTGTTGGAGACTCTGGCCCGAGAGAAAGACCAGGCCCTGGCCAAACTCAAAGAACTGGAGGCCACGGTACTGAACGAACGGGAGCAGGCCAGCCGTGCTGGGGCCAGACAGGAAGCCATGCAGGAGAGACTGGCCCAAGCTCAGAGCGAGAACGCACTGCTACGACAGCAGCTGGAGGAGGCGCTCAACAAGGGCTCGGCGAAGGATAAAGCTGTTACAGATGTGCACCAAAACTTTGCCGAAATGCTGAACCAGTTACGTGCAGACGGAGAGGAGAGAGTCCACCTGGTGGAGGAGAGAAGCAAAGAGCTGGCAAAGACAAACAGCGAGCTGAGAGATCAGAATTACAAACTAGAGCAGGAGAAAGCTGATAGAGAGGTAGAGGACACTAAGATTTTCTTTTTTTTTTCTTTATAAATGGCTCTATCAATGTCTTTTGTAAGCGAACAACATCATGTTGTGTCACTAATGGACACATCAGATGTAAGACTGAGACTAGACAGCAGCAGTAAAAAAGTAAGTTTTATGGGTTAGTTTAGCTTAGAGTCATAATTTATTAAAATAATAATTAAAATTAATACAAAAATAATTTTAAAATGTAAGATAATTATTAATCAATAATAACAATAATAATATTTAAATAATAAGAATTTTAAATTATATATATATATATATATAATATTATTGAAATATTTTATAATATTTATATTTTATAAAATAGTATATATGTATATATATAGAAATATGTTTTAATATTTTTATAATTTTTATTTTAATATATATAAAAAAATTAACTGCATATATATAAAGCTGAAAATAAGAGATGACTTATATACAAACCATAAACATCGCAGTGATGTTATTAAGTGTTATTAAAATAATTCATAAAATGCATACAAAAAATAATTTAAAACTTTAAAATAATAATAATATTTACATATTAATACTAATATAAATATAGTGTAAATATATATTAGTTTTGTAGAGATACAAAAACGATTTATTTTCAGAAAGACAGTAGATTTGCAGTATGACAAAAATAGAAGTGGGACATGGATCAACTGAAAGGTGCATTGCAACACATCTGGCACTTCCATTGTAGACCATTTTGTGGAAGTGATCGACTTCTCAATGTGCTGCACATGTCCCTGTGTAGACCCTGTAAAATGTAATGTAAACCTGATCAAATGAGAGTATTAAGCTGTTGTTTTTTTGCAGAGTTCTCTGAGGCAGCTGCAGCAGGAACTGGCCGACTGTCTGAAGAAGTTATCCATGTGTGAGGCTTCTCTGGAGGTCAACACACGGTACCGTAATGATCTGGAGGAAGAGAAGGCACGCACACTCAAGGACATGGACAGATTGAAGGGAAAGGTAACCATTAATCTTCTTATACTTCCTGAAAACCATCCGATCAGCTTGGTGTCAATCATTAACAGTGCAATCTGTATTTAACTGGAGTAGCTTCATTCTCAGGAACAATAAATGTTCATTTATTGATTTCAGCAATATAAATAAGTGGGGTCGCCACACTACAAGTCCTTTCGTTTGAGTTGTTTGCTTTTATACTTTGTTTGTGTTCAATTGCAGCTGCAGGAGTCTGAGGAAGTGTACGTCCAGGCCGAGAGACGCATCAGCCAACTGAAGAGCTCTCTGGACGACAAGGAGCGAGAAGCCTGCAGTACCGCTCAAAAACTAGAGGAGGCGCTAGCTGCTTCCACAGGCAAAGCGCAAACCATTAAACAGCTGGAGGAGGCAGTGCAGAGGTACCATTAATTCTGTAAACTGGGTCCACAAACACTCACTCATTGGCTTCATATGATACATGTCACACGGTAACAACAATGGTACTGATATAAGTGACGTGAGGAATTAAAATCACAGTTTATTACAGAAAAAAGTGTCTGTATGCTTATATATATATATATATATTAGGGATGTAACGATTCACTCAACTCACGATTCGATTCACGATTTTTTTTTTACAAAATGAGATTTAAGACAAATTATAAATTAAATGTGTCCTTTTATTATTGCTTGGACAAAATGCTTAACGTTTCTTTGTGAAATTGAAATATAACACCATAATAATATACTAGTATAGCACTTGTATATTATTGCTCTTTTTTTGGTTTTGATTGCTTCTATTGTCCTCATTTGTAAGTCACTTTGGATAAAAGCGTCTGCTAAATAACAAAATTGAAATATAATGTAAATGTAAATAACAAAACTAAATTGAAATTTTAAAACAAGCCCCAAATCAAATAAATAAGTAACACAAATAAAATAAATCTCTTCATATAAACAAACTAAAGCTTTGTCTGTGCTCTTTCCTTTTAAAATTAGAGGCAAGCACTGCATGTTAATCATGATCCAAACAAAGATGCTGCATATATGCAACACGAGCAGTTTTTAATCTAAATTAGATTAGACAGCAGACGAGCTGAATGAGACGCAGATGCACTCTCTGCCAGCTGGCGGCGCTTAAAGTGTTTCCTTGGTTTCCGCTGTAAACAAAGCAGCGCTGCACTTATGAACTTTACTACACATTATACAGAGGCAAGAGGAAAAGAAAAAATACCATCGAAAGACAGTAAGTTCCCCTCAGACATACATTCATATAAACTCCTACCTCTAATTGAATCGCGATTTGTTTAGCATCTCAACCGATTTGAATCGTCACATATTTGAATCGATTTTCAACCGGCTCGCGTTAATCGTTACATCCCTAATATATATATATATATATGTACATGATGTGTGTGTGTGTATACAGGGCTTTATGCTTCCTTTTCTTTTTAGGAGCACTTATGCTCCTAATTTAAAATATTTAAGAGCACAGTCAAAAAATTCAGGAGCACCTTCTGATCAATATTAATATGTGATATTTGACTCCTTAAAGTGATTTACAGGGGCTTTTTTTTTTACCTTTGGCATTTTTTTCAAACTTTATTAAAAGTGTCATCTTTTATGTCAAATTTTAATTAGATCCAAATAAAAATCCAAATTAGATAGAATAGTAAATAGAATAAAAAGAATAAGTTACAGATCAAATGAAATCAGTATTAAAATTAATTTGCACTTCAGAGGTGGCGAAGAAGAACACAAAAGTGGTATGTAGGTATATTTACAGACGTTTAATCAGGCTCAGAGGAGTGCAATTAAATTCATAAATTCATGTTGAGATGAATGTTTTAAATATAAAATTTTGAATATAGAAATATTAAATGATTCACTTTAATAATAGAAATATTATTTCTATTTAATAACAGAAGTATTGAATGGTCATACTTTAAAAATAAAACTAAAACTGCCAGTAGGTGGCGGCAAGTCACTGATTTGACCACTGAATCATTCATTCAATTGATTCGGTTGAAAGGCTGATTCATTCAGGAACGAAGCAAGTGACTGCTGTTATGAATTACATTAAATTAATAAGAATATTAGATGTTAGATTACATTAGATTACATATATTTATATTCATATTTACATATTTCTGTAGTCATTTATTGCATAAAATGTATTATATATGAATATTCTATGAAATTAATATGATTATTTTATGAATATCTATATTCATATTTACATATCTAAGTAGTAATATATTGCATACTATTAAGTTATTGAATATGAATAATATATATATATATATATATATATATATTTTTTTTTATATCATATAATGTCAGTTAGTGCATGTATATGAAATGTACATTAATTTAATTTGAACATTGAATGAATGCATTTATATTCATATTTACATGTTTTTGCATAAAGAATATTATATTATAATAATATTAATATAAATATTTTATTAATATATTTATATTTACATATTTAAGTAGTAATATATTGCATAATTTATTGAATGTGAAAATTATATTAAGATTCATGTTCAAATTCATATAGTAGTGCATACTATTAAGTTAAGACATTAAATTAATATTGATGATATTTAAATAAAATGAATGTCTTCTAAATATATTTATATATTTAACTATTAATTTGTTACATAATATTAAAGTATTTAATTGGAAATGTAAAAATGCATTCAAATGAAGCACTGTGTTCCTCATCTTACATCCATCAGCTAAACAACACAAAGTGTCCATCATTATTAACTGTAATCATCTACTAAAATATCTGTTCATTAATGTGTGAAAATGGTTCATGTGATTATGATATATCTACAGGTTAGAGATCGAGAACGCCAGACTGGAGGCCACAGCCAAACAGCAGACCAATCGCATCGAGGTGCTTCAGAAGGGCGTTCAGGAGGGCACTGTGGTGAGTTCTCTCAAATATCACTCATTTAACCACTAGTATGTGAAGAAGAAGTGTCCTGACTCAACTGATAATGGCAGATTTAGACATTAATCCTCACAGAGCTTTACGTTTTACCCTCTTAAGTCACCTGAGCTTCACTTTAGTTGAACTCTGTTTAATTGTGCCAGTGCAGAATGAGCTGACTGTACATGTGAGTCAGTTGGAGAGGAGATTTCATGTAAACTGATGGTGTAGTCATTCTTTTCACAGCGATCAGGCTCATCACCTGGAGAAGGGGTTGGTATCAAACATCTAGCTGTGATTCTAGCAGTTCTTTCTTTACTGTGAATTACAGCTCTTCAGGACTTCAAATCTCACTGTGGTTTACACTTGAAATGAACAAGAAACAAAAAAGTGTCTGTATTCTTTATTGCTTTTCTTTAGTTTGGTTGTTAGCGGGGTATTTTCTCTGTTTTGGTGGTGGTCTGTTTGCGGATTTGCATTGATTGTAAACTCTCTTGCAACCGTCTGCATTTCTGGTTTCTGAGATCTAAAGTAGATCTAGATCAGCATGAAGTACTTTGCTGAGAGAGTGATCAAGGCCCTGTTGTGTATTGACATCTGTGATTGTTCTCAGGTCAGGAATCGTTTGGAAGATATTGTCACAAACCTGCAGAGCGGTAAGATGACGCTAGAAGAACAACTCAACCGAGAGGTGAACTTTATGACAAACACGTGTCACGTTGAGCTTCAAAGTGCATCTAAATGCAATAGATGAAGAGAGGATAGATTGAGAACATTTCAGTTTATTCATTTATTTAGTAATGAAATTATTATTTTTTTTTTAATGTTTTTAGTCTTGGTTTTAGTTAACGATAATAGTCCTGATTCGTAGTGCTACAGGAAAGTATATTCACTATTTGTTTAATTGAGGTTCTCCTCTCCAGGTACAGAAGCAGAGTATGCTATCCCATAATGCCCAGGACTCACAAGCACTGTGGGAGGAGGAGCTAAAGAGCCGCTCACGACTGGGACTCCGCCTCTCTGAGCTGGAGAAAGAGAAAGGAGAACTGACCAATCAGGTGCCAGAAAGACACACTGTCCATCCGAAATGTGTTACATTAAATTACAACAAATGATACTTTTCAACAAACATAACGTTTGCATGTTCACAAGTGGTAAAATGTTTAGTGACTTAATCAAAACAGCTCAATTAGCACATGAAAATGAATAATTTACATGAATGTTTGTTGCTTTAGTTTGAAATGTGTGTATATAAATGGACTATTAAAGAAAGAAAATAATACTTTAGCACAGATGCATTAAACTGATCAAAAGTAACAATAAAGACATTTATAATCCCAAAGCAGCACAACCGTTTTCAACATTGATAATAATCAGAAATGTTTAATGAGCAGCAAATCAGTATATTATACTTATTTCTGAAGATCATGTGACACTGAAGACTGGAGTAATGATGCTGAACATTCAGCTGCGCATCACAGGAATAAATTACATTTAAAACATATTCAAATAGAAGACTGTTATTTTACGTTAATTGTCTAACAATAGTTCACAATATTACTGTTTTTGCTGTTTTTTGATCAAATATTTCAGCCTTGGTGAGCAGAAGAGAGTTCTGTCAAAAACATAAAAAAATTGCACCGATCCCCAATTTTAAATGGTAGTGTATGTATAAGGGAAAATATTGTTAAAAATCTTATTAGATGAAGTATTTAATGTCACACAGTGGAACACACGTCAAAATGGTTTGAAATGTCACGTCAACAACCCAAATATTGTATTAAACCTCTATTATTAAGAACAAGAGTGTCACCTGCATCCTCTCTCTGTGTTTCAGATGGAGCTCGAGAAGAAAAAGGCCAAAAAACTAGCCGAGCAGAAGAAATCTGTGGACACGCGTCTGGAGCAGGAGATGAAGAGAAACACTGACCTTCAGAAAGAAATGTACAGGTGACCCTTTAACCTTTAACCCCGACCGCTGCAGCTCTACACCTGTAGACGTGTTTGAGTACTAGAGAAGCCGGCAGTGCGGATCCTCCTGCTTGCGAATCTGTGAGATACACGCATGAAGTGCGTATGGCTTTTTATATCTTACATTTGTTTAATTCACTGAGGACTGACTCCAAGCCTGTCTTTTTTGCTGCTGTAGTGCTGTAGAATAACAAATCCATGTGTAGTGCTAAAAACCTTGATACAGCATTTGAAAAGGGATGTATTTCCATGTTAATTAAATGGTGAAGATAAGAGGGATCATTTGAAAACCAAGTTGTTTTACTGGTTGAGCAGGTTATTTCATTTTAGTGAAAGATTATAAAGAAATCACAATCACAAGACCTTTATGTTGACCAATATATATATATTACTTGTATACTATTATATAATTTATTAATATTTTGTATTATATTTATTGATAATAGCCTTTTGTTTTATATTTTCATATCTCATTTTAATTTTAGTTTAATGTCCCCCTGTAATCAAATATTTTATCCCTTAAAACTTATCTTTGATCATCAAAATGACATGTTTTTTCTTGTGAAAATAATTTTCTCATGCCTTAAAATAGCTTGAATGCAACTCTACACCCTTGCCTCCTTGCCTCAATGCGGATCTATGAATACGCAAATTAGCCCCGCCTCCACTCAGTCACACAGCAGCCAGCGCCTCCTGAACTGTAGTAAACGTGATACAATGGCAAGTGGAAATATTGGTTTAACTAAGCCATATGTGTTTGAACCAGAAATAAGCAGGTATGCTCAACCTAAGCAAGGAGACTGATGGCTAACTTCGTGAGGTGAACATTATCTGTTTGCGCTGGTTGGTACACGGATAAACGACTGATAAAAAGTTAGGTTACTTGCGTAACCCCGGTTCTCTGAGAACAGAGCGAGGTATCTCACTATGGGAAATGCCCCAGGCGTGATAGACTATGGAAGCACCAATTACACCACATCTGTCCGAAGGATGGACCAATCACAGCTCATGACAAGGAGCCCACCCCCTCCATATATACTGTATATATGGCTGTGATCCCTGAAAACAGCATTCTAAGCACGCTTTTCCCCTGTGTTATGCGAGTAGGGAAGCTTGGTGAGATACCTCGCTCTGTTCTCGGAGAACCAGGGTTACGCAAGTAACCTTACATTCTCTTTCAAACAATCGCTCGGTATCTCACTATGGGAATGATATAGCCAACTCCCGAAATGCATGCTTTCCCATAGCCACTGAACAGACCTGGCAAGAACGAAAGATAACCTTTTAATTCTCTAAAGAGCCAACATTGACAGTGGTAAAATGTCCAGACATCCAGACGCTAAAATCTGATAAATGTATGAGGGGAAGCTCAGCTTGCCCACGAGGTGGCCATACCCCTTGTTGAATGAGCCCTTAAGCCCGCTGGGGAATGAAGACCCATAGATGTAGGCCAATTCAATTGCCTCCACCTTCCAATGGGAAAGGCGCTATGAGGAGATCGGCTTACCCTTACATTGAGTGGCTCATGAAACGAATAACTGATCATTCTTCCTGAACGATCGTGTCCTGTTTACATAATAGCGTAACGCTCGTACAGGACACAAAGTGTGCAATTTCCGCTCCTCCTTCGAAGTAAAAGGAGGGGGGTAAAAGGCACGCAACTCCAAAGCAGAGCAGTTATAAGATGAATCACTGACTTTGGGAACGAACGCCAGGTTAGGCAGCAACGCAACCTTGCTGTCATCCGGGCTAAAATCCAGACATGCCAGATGAACCGACAAAGCGTGTAACTCACACACTCACTTAGCTGAGACTAAATCAAGTAGTAAGACCATTTTCAGAGATAGGAGCTTAATATCCACACTCTCCAGAGGTTCAAATGGGGCCCGAGTAAAAGCATTCAGAACCATGGACAAGTCCCATGACGGAACCAGATGCTTAGATACTGGTCTCAAACGCTTCACCCCCTTCATAAAACGGCATAAAAGAGGGTGCCGTCGAAATGAGACTCCCTTGAAGCCTACATGACACGCTGAAATAACAGCCAGGTAAACTTTAATAGTAGAAAACGCTCTCCCATTGTTCATTAAGCTTTGTAAAAAGCAAAGTACATCGCTCACCGCGAACTGAAAGGGAATCACTCCTTTACGAGTACACCAGTCCTCAAACACACGCCATTTAAGACCATACAGTGAGCACGTTGATGGAGCTCTAGCGCTCTGGATAGCGTTTATAACCTCCTGTGGAAGTCAGAGAGCGTATAAATTTAACCCTTCACGGGCCAGACCCAAAGATCGACTCGTTCCAGGTGTGGGTGAAATATCTGCCCCCTGAGGGTTAATCTGAGGTTAATAAAACGCTATTAACCTCAAAAATTGGTTAAATTTACTTACTATTATATAATTTATTAATATTTTGTATTATATTTATTGATAATAGCCTTTTGTTTTATATTTTCATATCTCATTTTAATTTTAGTTTAATGTCCCCCTGTAATCAAATATTTTATCCCTTAAAACTTTTCTTTGATCATCAAAATGACATATTTAAATGTTTTTTCTTGTGAAAATAATTTTCTCATGCCTTAAAATAGCTTGAATGCAACTCTACACCCTTGCCTCATTTAGTATACGCTGATCTATAAATATGCAAATTAGTCCCGCCTCTACTCAGTCACACCAGCCAGTGCCTCCTGATCCACTGAACTGTAGTAACCGCAAAACAATGGCATACACGGATAATGACTGATAAAACTATGTTTTTACTAGTGGACAACTACAGTGAATAATGTAAATTTCGTTAAAGTTACTTACTTGACGATGTTGTGTCCTAAAATGCCTTGAAGACTTGAGTACAGCTGTTTGTGATGAGATGGTCCTCACTGCAGAACACAAGATCCAGATCCAACTCCTCCCACCTTACATATACCTAAACCCACCCATCTCCACCCCCTAGATGTGGATCCAACCCCGCCCCCTGGATTTATGTTCAGCAGTGAGGGGCTACTGTTTGTGATTGTTAATTCGCGCCCGCAAGCATACGCACGTGAAGTGCAGAGTTATAATATTATAATGCAAGTTAGCGGTTCTAAATTCACATTAAACCACAGCTTCATGGGTTTTTTGCTCTTATTTTATTTTTGGTGTTGTGCATGTGTATTTTGCATGCTAGTGAAGGAATCGATCCCTTGACGTGATTGGTTATTGGATTGTGACGTAGCAAACCGAGGGACTTTTTACGGAAGTCACAATGGTTCGTGAAAAGTCACAGCTACTTTATGCAGGCTGTGTGAATTTTACTGTGGACTGACTGTTTTGAAACTTATATGGTAGTTAAATAGCACCTAGACCTCAGTTATCATGAAAAAAGCCAGGAAATTTCAGTTTTGACAATATGGGACCTTTAAGGAGAAAATACTCAGCAATGGTGTTGATTAATAGATTGGCACATGGTTTGTCTAAAAGCATATTAAAAACACCACAAATAAACAACATAAAAAACTTGATTTTCACTACAGGGGGACTTTTTTATGAATATTGTAATTTTTTAGCTTGTATTAAATAATTTAAAAAAATTCTATCTATCCATCTATCTATCCATCTATCTATTAAAGGGATAGTTCACCCAAAAAATGAAAATTCTGTCATTAATTACCTTCATTGACATAAGTACCTATATCTCATGGTTTAATTGACTTCAAATGCAAGCAGAACAGTGTTATTTTTAGTATTATTTATATACTCTATTATAATATTTATTAATATATTGTAGATATTAATATTTATTGATAATAAGCTTTTGTTTATTTACCTTATTTTTTAGTTTTCAGTTAATTTAAATTTAGTTTAAGTAATTATTTGTGTGCTTTCATAATTTTTATTAGTTTGTAAAAAATATTTCTATTTAGCTTGAATAATTTTTTTAGTTTTAGTCATTTTAGAACTTATTTTAATTTAGCTGCTAAGCCAGCATTTCTAATTCTTCATTTAAGTTTTGCATCTAATATATTTTATTTTATTTCAAATTTATGGTTTTAGTTTTAGTTAACAATAACAACACTGATACAGAATGTCTCTAATTTCAGTATATCTTACTGTGTGTGTGTGTCAGGTTGAAAACTCTGTTGAAGACCGCTAAGAAGCAGCTGCGTGAACAGGGCGGTGGACAGCTGGACTCTCCTCTGGGCAGCTTCAGAGGAGACATGAGCCACCGGCTGGAGGCAGAGAGCACCATCAGCAGAATGAAGACTCGGGTACAGTCTCAGATTTAGGCATTTACAGACATTTGCAACATTTTTTGTCATTTTTAAGACTGTCAGATCAGATTAAAGTATGCAAACTTGATTGAGTCTCTGATTTCCTCCTTTTCTGCTTGTCTCTAATCCTGTGGTCACCCTTGCTCTGGCGCAGGTGGATGAGCTGCAGTCTCAGTACGAGCGGGAGGCGTCGCGCTGCTCGCGGCTGGAGGAGGTGAACAGACAGCTGAAGGAGAAGCTGTCGTCTGTGAAGAGCCTGAGCCGAAGCCACGAGCAGCTGGAGCGCAGCAAGAGGCAGCTGGAGGAGGAGGTGGCCAGTCTGCGGCGGCAGCTGGAGGCCGGTGTGATGGACCAGAGCCAGGCCGAGCAGTACCGCCGGGAGACGGAGGAAAGAGCCCGACAGGAGATCCGACACAAACTAGAGGAGGTCAACCTCTTCCTGCAGGTACACAACAAGAGTCAAAGAGTCAACATGCACCGGAACACATTCACTTTAACCTTGTGTTTATTGTTGTTACATTATTTGTGTGCAAAGTCCAAAGTAAACAATCGTTAAGCACCAAATATAGGTGAAAAAGCAAGTGAATACAAAACCGTTATTGGCCAGTTTCAATCGCATAATGCGAAAATGTTCTTTAACCTTTGCTAATGTTCCTTTGCTCCTTTATTTTATTAAATTTGTTATTATACATTACGTACATTTCTTAAATATAAAATATTATTTTAAAAAGTAATTACAATAATTTTGCTTAAGCATTTTTCACTCTTTACATGCAGACAATATCTTATTTTGTTTTTCTGTTATTTTATTATTTAATTTATATATCTAAAATATATTATTTTATAAAATAATTATAATAATTACATTTTTGTATAAAGTTTTAGATACTGTTTCACGCAGGCATTATATTTTATTTTATTATTGTTTTTTCATTTATTATTTTATAATTTTATACTTTTTAAAATATAAAATTTATTATTTAATAAAGATAATTATAATTATTTTGTTTATTATAAAGTTTTAGACACTATGTTTCACATAGGCAGCATTTTATTTTATTTATATAATTTTTTAATAATATATATTTCTAAAATATAACATAATTATTATTCTTTTGTTTATTGTAAAAAGTTTTAGACACTTTTTGTATGTTTCGTCAGACGCAGGCGGCGTCTCAGGAAGCTCTGGAGCAGATGAAAGCTGCTAACGAGGCCAGTCAGCGCACTCAGCAGGAGCAGCGCATCAGGGATCTGGAGGGAGAACTCAGCCGTTTACGCAGCGTTCAGCAGGACAGTCTCGTTCAGAGAGACTCCAGCCACACAGAGTTGGAGCGCTACAAACAGCTGTACAGCGAAGAACTCCGCCTCCGCAAGAGTCTGGCTGCCAAACTAGAGAGGTGAGAGACATCATGGGAGCCTGTCCTCAGAATTATATTTAGAAATATATCTTCATTATAATCACAGGTTAATCTCTCTCGCTTGCCACCAGGTTTGGCGGGGGCCTGGACGGGCGGGGCGGCTGCCCTGCGACCGGCCACAGGTTAATTACATTTTTCAGATAAAAAAAAAATAGTTTAATGGTGATTAATGGCAGTTAATTATTTAAAAGCATATCAGGCAAAGAAAATCATGATAAATTGTACAGCTGATTCTATAGGTATCACTGGCACCCTCTGTCCTGGTTTAGGTCATATGTCACTGGTTACCACTGGTGTCCCTCAGGGTTCTGTTTTGGGCCCACTGCTATTCATCTTCTATTTACTCCCTCTTGGCGTATTGCATATTTCCACCTGCGTAATATTAATCGTCTCCATCCCTCTCTCACAACGAATAATTCTGTTGACCATGGGTGTTTAGAAAGGTACCACTAAATAAAATGCATTATTATTATTATTATTATTATTATTAAATTTACCAAGTAAAAAAAAAAAAAAAAAGGTAAAATGTAAATAAATATTATTTCAAAACATATCAAGGTGGTTTCAAAAATTTTAGTTTTAGTAAGTAAAACTAAAAATAATAATACAAATGAATGAATATTATAAAAGTCATAAAAATAAATAAAGATAATTAAATATTATTTCAAAGCATATGAAGGGAGACACACAAAATGATTAATTAGCCACATAAAAATACAAATAAATTAATACAAAAAAATCGTAAAATAAAATTCTAAACATAAACAAGTAATATTTCAAAACATATCTCAAAAACATAGTCGAAGAAAATTGATAAATTTATCAAGCATAACTAAAAATAATAAATACAAATAAATTAATGAAATAAAATATAAAATCAATCAATCAATATTATTTTAAAGCATATCAGGGGAGGTATGGAAAATTATGATAAATTGACCAAGAAAAACTAAAATAAATTAATAAAATATAAATAATTATTTCAGAGCAGATCAGGGAATGCGCATAAATGGTAAAATGACCAAGTAAAGCTAAAATGAACAAATACAAATAAATTAATAAAATAAATAGGAAACTACAATTAGAAATAAATATTGTTTATAGCATAATATTAAGGGAGGCACAGATCATTGTTAAACTTACAAACTAAAATTGAACACAAATCAATTATTTTAATAATTTTCCATCAGTCCTAATAAATATTTTTAATTGTAGAAGTATTTACTTGATTTATTTCTGTGATTCATAGTGATTAACTGTTTGTTTGTTTTTTTAATAATGTGCCAAAATGTCTTTTTGTTAACATAATGTGCAGGTCGAATGAGCGGTTAGCGGAGGCCAACACTAAACTCCTGAGCGAGAGGCAGCGCAGCAAATCTCTGCTCAACAGCAGTATAGTGAACGGCGGTTTGGGGGGCCCCGCTCTGGATGTGGCATCTCTGGGCACCGTGGGGGCGTATGGAGCCTCTCTGGGACCCCTGAACAGGAGTCTGGGCCTCGGGACGCCTCTGCTGGGTACGGTAGGGGAATCGCAGAGCAGCCGCGTAGAGGCCTACCTGGCAAAGGTGAGCGATGGTGCATGAAGTCATTTCACTCTCATGTAGACTGTGAACAGGTTTCCAAATGCTGCACCACACTGCCTCAACATTCAGCACTAACCATGTTCTAATACTTACACCCAAAATAAATCCCATGTCAGGTGGTGATTCTAAAACTAACATAACGATTATATATTTTCTCCTTCCACTATCTTTCCCTTCATAAACGTAGCAAATAACCTTCTGGTCTGTTTTTCCTGTGGCTGCTGTCTGGACTCATATCCTCTTCTGTCTCTGATATCTTCAGCTTCTAGCTCAAAAGTCTGTTTCTCACCTGTCCTCTCTGCAGCCTGATACCTGAGCAGGTGTGTAGCTGATGTGTGCAGATCTCTGACTGTCAGAACACACACACACACACACACACACACGCTTTAATGTGTCTCTGTGGCTTCACGCAGCTGTTTATGGGAGAAAACGTTGAGTCACAAATCATGTTGAATAGATATTTTATTAATTCTGAGCAAGATTTTAATTAGATCAAAGCTTAATTGTAGACTTACACTGGGTATAGGGATGTTACTTTGCACTGAGTGAATACAGCTGGATAAAACAAAAACTGTCCGTCTTCATTTCAGGCTGCAAAGCAACAATATGTGATTATTTTAAAGGGGAGTAATTCTTTTCTATACCCACTGTATCTGTGCATTACAGCTTCTAGTACACTGACGTTTTATAAAAAACATTTTGAAAAAAAAGGCATCTTTGTTCAGAATTAGTTATTTAGTATCATTCATGTACCTTTATAGTATTTATTAATATTTTGAATTAACTTTTATTTAATATTTTCAGTTTTCATTTCAATTTTAGTTTAAATTTAGTAATTTTTTACATGCTTTTTTCATTTTTATTTATTTTTTAAATATTTCTGTGTAGTTTAAATAGTTTTTCAGGTTTTGTTTTAATAATTATATATGCAGTATATTTAGTTTTAATAGTTGTAATAAGTTTAGTAGATTATTTTAGTTTTAATTAAGTTTTAAGCTAATATATATATATATATACGTTTCTAAAAATGGCATGTAGCGTTCAGCAGGACAGTCTCGTTCAGAGAGACTCCAGCCACACAGAGTTGGAGCGCTACAAACAGCTGTACAGCGAAGAACTCCGCCTCCGCAAGAGTCTGGCTGCCAAACTAGAGAGGTGAGAGACATCATGGGAGCCTGTCCTCAGAATTATATTTAGAAATATATCTTCATTATAATCACAGGTTAATTAAATTTTTCAGATTAAAAAAAAATAGTTTAATGGTGATTAATGGCAGTTAATTATTTAAAAGCATATCAGGCAAAGAAATTCATGATAAATTGTACAGCTGATTCTATAGGTATCACTGGCACCCTCTAGTAATTCTTTTCTATACCCACTGTATCTGTGCATTACAGCTTCTAGTACACTGACGTTTTATAAAAAACATTTTGAAAAAAAAGGCATCTTTGTTCAGAATTAGTTATTTAGTATCATTCATGTACCTTTATAGTATTTATTAATATTTTGAATTAACTTTTATTTAATATTTTCAGTTTTCATTTCAATTTTAGTTTAAATTTAGTAATTTTTTACATGCTTTTTTCATTTTTATTTATTTTTTAAATATTTCTGTGTAGTTTAAATAGTTTTTCAGGTTTTGTTTTAATAATTATATATGCAGTATATTTAGTTTTAATAGTTGTAATAAGTTTAGTAGATTATTTTAGTTTTAATTAAGTTTTAAGCTAATATATATATATATATACGTTTCTAAAAATGGCATGTATTAAGTATGCAGTATACAACATTAAAAACATTGTTTTATGCTACATTGTTGTATAGTTATCTTATTCAGTTTAATTCAGAAATCAGCTTTTAGTTGTAGGAAATAAACAAATCCTTTGGCATTTTAATTATTTTGTGTAAAAATATTAACTTTTGGGAGTTGGATCAGAGACAGTTCAATCATCACACTGGAAATGGAAGTCAAGCGCATTGCATTGTGGGATACAGTACTGAGTGCGGTGTGCTCTGGATGTTAACTGCACATTTTGACAAATGTTGTAGGTCATCTGGGTATTTAAAGGATACAGAAAATGATGATAAATTGACCAAGTAAAACTAAAACTAATCATTATAAATAAATAAATAAAATATAAATAATTATTTCAGAGCAGATCAGGGAATGCGCATAAATGGTAAAATGACCAAGTAAAGCTAAAATTAACAAATACAAATAAATTATTAAAATAAATAGAAATAGGAAACTACAATTAGAAATAAATATTGTTTATAGCATAATATTAAGGGAAGCACAGATCATTGTTAAACGTACAAACTAAAATTCAACACAAATAATTTTTTTTTTTTTAAAAAGTTACCCTAATCTATTAATTTTATTATTATTTATAATTATTAATGTATTAATTAAATTAATTATTTTAATAATGTTCCATCAGTCCTAATAAATATTTTTAATTGTAGAAGTATTTACTTGATTTATTTCTGTGATTCATAGTGATTAACTGTTTGTTTGTTTTTTTAATAATGTGCCAAAATGTCTTTTTTTTTACATAATGTGCAGGTCGAATGAGCGGTTAGCGGAGGCCAACACTAAACTCCTGAGCGAGAGGCAGCGCAGCAAATCTCTGCTCAACAGCAGTATAGTGAACGGCGGTTTGGGGGGCCCCGCTCTGGATGTGGCATCTCTGGGCTCCGTGGGGGCGTACGGAGCCTCTCTGGGACCCCTGAACAGGAGTCTGGGCCTCGGGACGCCTCTGCTGGGTACGGTAGGGGAATCGCAGAGCAGCCGCGTAGAGGCCTACCTGGCAAAGGTGAGCGATGGTGCATGAAGTCATTTCACTCTCATGTAGACTGTGAACAGGTTTCCAAATGCTGCACCACACTGCCTCAACATTCAGCACTAACCATGTTCTAATACTTACACCCAAAATAAATCCCATGTCAGGTGGTGATTCTAAAACTAACATAACGATTATATATTTTCTCCTTCCACTATCTTTCCCTTCATAAACGTAGCAAATAACCTTCTGGTCTGTTTTTCCTGTGGCTGCTGTCTGGACTCATATCCTCTTCTGTCTCTGATATCTTCAGCTTCTAGCTCAAAAGTATGTGACACTGAAGACTGGAGTAATGGCTGCTGAAAATTCAGCTTTAACGTCACAGGAATAAATTACACTTTAAAATATATTCAAATGGAAAACAGCTATTTTAAATATTTTACATTTTTTCAGTTTTTACTGTATTTTTAATCAAATAAATGCAGCCTTTAAAACCCAACGTTTTGAATGGTGGCAGATACTTTTACTAGCGTTTGGATTTTGACCAATCAGATGTGTCAAAATCATGATCTTTAAAATATATTCAAATGGAAAACGGCTATTTTAAATATTTTACATTTTTTCAGTTTTTACTGTATTTTTAATCAAATAAATGCAGCCTTTAAAACCCAACGTTTTGAATGGTGGCAGATACTTTTACTAGCGTTTGGATTTTGACCAATCAGATGTGTCAAAATCATGATGCGTCTGCATAGTTATGGTTATGCATTTTTATAGTATGAATACTGTGGCAATGTAAAGTAAACAATAACCTGGCTGAGTGCTAGTTTTAGGACGTGTGTTTGATGAGATGAAGTCAGATGTGTGGTCTGGTTTGTCTGTTCCTGTTGCAGATGCAGACGGAGCTGGAGAAGAACATATCGAAGGAGCTGGACTACGGTGAGACATTATTATAACAAAATGTTTATATCTATTTTATGTAAATAGTCTGTTATACTGTTATTAAGATCTCACTCATTTAGATTACAAGGTATGAGAATTTAATTATTTTGGTTTGGCCATTTAAATATCAGCAACGGCACCAAATTGCATATTTTTGCTCAGTTTGGGCCTATTGAGATGTTTTTCCTCCTTGAGTATGAACTCAATATTCTCCTATATCATAGTATATGAGCCACAAAAGCCAGGTATAAAATACGAACAAAACACATGCAAACTTTTTCAGACTATACTTTCAAATGTCAGACTTTACGGGGTTAATATGATCTTTAAGTGACCGGTTGGATCTCCGCTCAAGTCCATTCAAAAATGTATTCTGTATTAATTCGATTGCGCTCAAAAGTGACTTAATTGTCATTCTCGTGTCATTCTGGAAGGAGGAACTGCCCGCATGTCTCCCGTAGGATCGGCCTCTGGATCTCAGAACCTGAACCTGAACGTGACCCTGGAGCAGCCGGACCCCGTGAGCAGAGCCACTCAACAGTACCTGGAGGTGCTGAAGAAGAACTACATGATCTGACCCGCGGTCAGTCCACACACTGTGAACACAATCAACTCGAGCGCCATAACCCACTCGAGAAACACTGATGGACCGCCCTAAAAGCCCTATGGATTTATAAAACAGGAGTTTGTTTACTAAAGCAGTTATGGTGCCTCTTTGTGGTCATTAATGGAACTGGTCCTGTTCTCCCAAAAATTTGCTGGCCATCTAAAGATGAGTTTGTTTCTTCATCAAATCAACAGATTTGGAGAAATGTAGCATTGCATCACTTGCTCACCAGTGGATGCTCTGCAGTGAATGGGTGCCGTCAGAATGAGAGTCCAAACAGCTGATTAAAAACATCATAATCTCATTCTGACGGCACCCATTCACTGCAGAGCATCCACTGGTGAGCAAGTGATGCAATGCTACATTTCTCCAAATCTGATGAAGAAACAAACTCATCTACATCTTGGATGGCCTGACGATAAGTTTATTTTCAGTACATTTTCATTTTGGGGTGAATTATTCCGTTGATGGCCAAGTCTATCTGAACATGTTCTTCAGAGTTTGTTTAACATATTGTAAGGCTCATTATCGAAGTAGAATATATTCATACTTGTAAAATCCCAGTCACCAGACTGGTTCCTGCCGGTCAGGAATCATGCAGCCTTGAGATAAGTCATAAAAATGAGCGAAACAAACTTTGCGGAGACTGAAAGGAGCCCATCTGTCTGGACTTGTGTACTAGTGCTGCAAAAACAACACAACCACCAAGGGCCAAAGTTTCAACACTACAATCAGTTTGTGATCTTTAATCGAGTGTGACAATGCACTTTTGTGCCTCGGGAGCAAATGAACTGCATGTTTAGGTCGTTCTGGCATTGGTGAAGCCTGAGGTTTGGAGGTACGTGTGAAGTGCAGCTTTCAGTGTTGCGGCCCCATTGCGAAGACTTGATGTTTTTGTCATATGTGGGTTTTAGTTTATATGTATGTATGTATTTTGGCTGTTTTAATAGTCGAGGCATATTATAAAGAGTGTCACATTTGTACCATTAATATTATTGCCAAGTAATGAAAATGGTACATTCTTGACTATCGTGCAATATACTCAACGTTAATTTCAAATGACCAAACTCTCATTTGGAGATGTTTTTGTGAAATGAATGCTATACTTGAATGAGACCAAACTAGATAATGACCTGGTGATTTTCTAGAGTATGTGACAGTGTCACCGCTTCGCTGTGCTCAGGATGAATCTTTTCGTGTGTATGAGTGAATCTCATGAATTGTGCCAGGTCATATTTCAGATGTTGCATAAATTATATTTTGCATGTTAACATTTTAATTTTTTTTGCATTGTGATATTTTCTTGACAGTTAAGCACATTTTACCCCCAAATTCTCATTACTGTAATGAAAAAATTATTAAAGTGTATGTGTGTGTATATATATATATATATATATATATTAAAAAACAAATCTAATTAAAACACACTACAATGTACAATTGTAAATTTGAATAATATATATACGTGTAAAAAGATATATTATAGAAACAAATATGTAACCAAATTTGCTTTGTTAATTACAAAAACGGCTTAACTTAAATTTGCATAATGTCAATAAAACAATGTTTTTTTGCATTGTGAGATTTTCATTTAAACAGACAATTAAACCGATTTCACCCCCAAATTCGCATTGGTGGAATAATTAATTTTTTATAATTAATTTTATAAATAATTCAGTAGAACAGACACTACCATGCATGCACAATTATACTATATATTTGTGTGTTTTTGTAAAAAAAAAAAAAGAAATATATATATATATATATACACACACATTTTTGGTGTATTAATGACAATTGAAGGGGAAAATGCTCAATTGTTAATTGTGCAAAAAAAGTCTTAAAAATAGTCTTCGTTTTCATTATGCAAAATTTTATTTATTTTTTTTTTGTGGTGAAATATGACAAACTAAAAAAAACATGCTCATCAAATTCATCCGTATGTTTTAGTTTTTGTTGACTGAAATATCTATCGTCTCCAAGCATTTCAGTCTTGTTTTTGTCTTGAAATGTTTTAGATGTTTAAACAGATGTTTCGTAGCTACAGAATGAACAAAAATGGTGAATCACTTTCGTTATAAATACAAAAATCAACCTTTATTTATCTAATATAGGAAATTCAGCAGCACGAATAAACACTCAGTTCTGGGACATCCGGCTTTCTTCTGAATCATTCAGTCAGTGATGCGTCTCATTCTCCAAATCACAAAACCCAAAGAAATGGATGGATATGTGACTGTAAGGAACACAGTGTGAGGCCTGAGCTGTGAGAGGTCATCTTCTGAATCCTCCTGATGAGTCTTCAGCAGAACCTCAGGTCGTTCTCCAGTTTGTAGATTTTGGCCCTCAGGTTCTTCAGCTCACTCTGGACCTTCACTGTGCGACTGTTGGTCTGTCGAACCTCATGGAGAATGGCCAGGTCTTGATCAGGGCCCACGTTGAGTGTCAACTAGTGAAAGACACAGCCATCAAAATCTGCATCATTATTGATGCTAATTTAACAGTCGTTTGTCTGCCGATTTCAGATATATTCATATCAGACAAGGAGACACGAATTTCTTCATTCTCCAAATCACAAAACCCAAAGAAATGGATGGATATGTGACTGTAAGGAACACAGTGTGAGGCCTGAGCTGTGAGAGGTCATCTTCTGAATCCTCCTGATGAGTCTTCAGCAGAACCTCAGGTCGTTCTCCAGTTTGTAGATTTTGGCCCTCAGGTTCTTCAGCTCACTCTGGACCTTCACTGTGCGACTGTTGGTCTGTCGAACCTCATGGAGAATGGCCAGGTCTTGATCAGGGCCCACGTTGAGTGTCAACTAGTGAAAGACACAGCCATCAAAATCTGCATCATTATTGATGCTAATTTAACAGTCGTTTGTCTGCCGATTTCAGATATATTCATATCAGACAAGGAGACACAAACACTATATATTCTTAAAGAAGACATAAATGAGAGAAATGACTGACTTTAAAGAGATATTTCTCCACGTCTTTGACTTTCTGCCGCAGGTGTTTGATGTCGGTCTTGAATCCCTCCACCTCCATGGCCCGTCTTTTCTCCAGAGCTTCATAACGTTGAGTCATCAGCTGCAGACGTTTGGCCATCTTATCAGAGCGCTCCTAAAAACACACATGCACAAAAATCAGATGCTAGTTTGACACCAAAGCAACCGCAACGCTTCAGGGAAATATCAAAATATTTTCATGTCAAAAGCATCTCACCCTATTGTGCTTCAAAATATCACTTTTAGTTTTTTTAGTGAACATACAAGGAGATATTTAACACGTTTCATCTCAATGACATTCAGCTAAACATCTCATTTTATGAAGTTAAAAGTACATATTTGTTTGTTTGCATACTTTGAAGATCTCTCGGCCCACGTCGCCTTCCTCTCTGATCTGGGACAGGTCTGTCTCTAGATTGACACACTGCTCTCGGTACATATCAGCCAGTTTATGAGCCTGTTTCAGTTCCTCCTGCAAAGCCTGCTGGGAAAAAAAAAGACAAAACCCTTTGTGAGACCTGGATAAAGTCTTGTTTTTAAAGATGAAGGAGAATGTGATTCCTCCCTATAAAACGGTTTTCAAACAAAACATACTTATCCTGCACAAAATTACTATAAATGTAACATTTTGTCGTTTATATGCATATCTATCTATACATTATAAATATAATAGATAACAAATATATAAAAGTTTTATGTGAAATATCCTATTCAGGTTAGTACTAAAGAAAAATAACATGCATTTTACTGCAAGGTGTATGTAAACTTTTGACCACGACTGTATGCATGTATGTATGTGTATATATATATAAAATTATTATTATTATATATAATGAAACAATTATACGTGTCCCTGGAGCACAAAACCAGTCAATTTTTTGAAATTGAGATTTATACATCATATGAAAGATGAATAAATAAGCTTCCCATTGCTGTGTGGTTTGTTACGATGAGGCAATATTTGGTCGAGATACAACTATTTGAAAATCTGGAATCTGAGGGTGCAAAAAAATCTAAATATTGAGAAAATCATCTTTAAAGTTGTCCAAATGAAGTTCTTAGCAATGCATATTACTAATCAAAAATTAAGTTTTGATATATTTACGGTAGGACATTTACTAAATATCTTCATGGAACATGATCTTTACTTAATATCCTAATGATTTTTGGCATAAAATAGAAATGTATAATTTTGACCCATACAATGTATTTTTGGCTATTGCTACAAATATCCCCCAGCGACTTAACACTGCTTTTGTGCTGCAGGGTCACATATATTAATCTATTAAAATGGTATACAATTATATATTATACATTTAATATCATCATCATATTTGGGGGTCCTTGGCATTAAAAAGCTCTGCCTTAGCTATTCCAGGCATTTGTGCCATTTTAAAAACATGTTATTTAAAACGAGCTGCCACAAATCAGCGGTCTGACCCTGGTCTCCTCGCGGTGTGTCTGGCTGCTCTCGTGCTTGGGCTGCATGATGAACAGAGCGTCTGCGCACGCAGGAGGAGGCTGATCAGGGGAACTGCGCTCCTCTCGCAGCCGCTCCTGACAGGAGTCCAGCTCTCGCAGCAGACGGTCCTTCTCCAGCATCCAGCTCTTCTCGTGCGCTCGACTCTCAAACTTCAGCTGCAGGAAGTCCCTGGTGCTCTCGTACAGCAGGCTCTGCGTGCGCTGCAGTCTGAACACGTGAGAGAGTCGAGCTCATGTCTGATGCTCGGGGTTTGTAGAAACAGAAGGGGGGATGAACTTACTTGTCGGTGAGGGCTGTGATTGCGTCCTGGTCGCGCTGGTGCTGTACCTGTCTCTCCTCCTGATGAATGCGTCGGTCCTCCAGCAGTGCCTCCACCTGCTCTTTAGCCAGCCGCGTCTGCTCCTCCAGCTGAGCCTGCAGCGCCTCCACCTGGACTCATAGAACAAAAATATTCATAATATTTATACAGATATAAAAAAAAATTATATAATTTTTTGTGCTGGATAAAACATGTTTTAATTCAATATGTATTTGCAAATACATTTTGTGTTAAGCATTAAAATACATTTAATAAAGTTAATCGTCAATACATTTATTAATATAAACTAATGTTCAAAAGATTAAAGGTCAGTAAGATTTTTAAATGAAATTATTAATTTTAATCAACAGGATGCATTTAAATTGATCAGAAGTGACAGTAAAGTCATTTATAATGTTACAAAAGATTTATATTTCAAATAAATGCTGTTCTTTTCAACCTTCTATTCATCAAAGAATCCTGAACAAAACTAATGCATCAGTTTCCACAAAAGTATCAAGCTTTATAATATTAATATTAATAATAAAATGTAATATTAAACTGTTTTCAACACTGATAATAATCAGAAATGTTTCTTGAGCAGCAGATCAGCATATTATACTGATTTCTGAAGATCATGTGACACTGAAGCCTGGAGGAATGATGCTGAAAATACAGCTGCGCATCACAGAAATATATTACATTTTAAAATATATTCACATAGAAAACAGTTCTTTTATATTATAATAATATTTCACAATATTACTGCAATTTTGATCAAATAAATGCAGCCTTGTTGACCGTAAGAGACACACGCACACACCTGCAGCAGTAATGTCTGGGTGTCTCTCTTGTACTGCTCTGAACTTGTAGCATCTTCTCCGTCTTTGGACGATTTCTTGCTTCCTGTAGTTTGAAACAACACAGACAAGATAACTCCATCTCAAAATAACATGAAGATATCAATCCACCCAGAAAACTGCAACAATTTAGTCAAACCTTTCACTGACACAGGCCTCGGTTTCACCACCTTTGATTCCTCACGTGATCTCAGCTGGACCTTCTTCTGAGGGATTGTGACCTAAAAACCATATTGTTGCAAACCAAAATAAAGCATGATACTCCACAAGTGGCCACATGATATCAAGATGAGCTAGATTTGTATTGTTTGGAACCGTGTGTGGAGGCTCGCGGTGGAAATACGTGATCTCGCCGGGATCCGGACCCACAAGCGCTAGAAGATGCTGGATCTTTTTCCGGTCCTCCAGCTCTCTGTGACAGTAAAGACACTTCAGCCTCAGATATGATGTTAGTGCTGTGGTGTCCGTGATGAGGAGACATCTGACCTGATTTTGAGGCGGTCGTTCTCGGCGTACAGTCGCAGCGCCTGCTCTCGCTCCTGGAACAGATACACCTGCATATCACTGAGAGCATTCTGGAGCTCTGCGATCTCCTCCTCGCGCTGACGCACCTCCCACTGCAACTTGTGCTGCACGAACAGAAGCACAAACTAATTATACAACATCCATGAAGAGCGGAGAGAGCAGAAACATCATCCAGGTGAATGGAGGTCACCTGCTCCTCCGCGGTGCTCCTGTACTTCTCCAGCATCTGCAGCAGGTCATCATGTTCTCCATCAAACTGCGCCACCTTCTGCCTGTAGAAGTCCAGCAGCTCGCGGGACGGCCGCAGGTACGCCAGACGCTCGGAGACGGGGGGCAGCGGAGACTCGCGCTCGGGACTGACACAAACACAGAGAACGAGGAAGAGACACTTAAAAGCGTGGCGTTCGGGATTTCAGACATGCTCTGTTCATGCATATGGTACCCAATATTATAATAATATTTCACAATATTACTGCAATTTTGATCAAATAAATGCAGCCTTGTTGACCGTAAGAGACACACGCACACACCTGCAGCAGTAATGTCTGGGTGTCTCTCTTGTACTGCTCTGAACTTGTAGCATCTTCTCCGTCTTTGGACGATTTCTTGCTTCCTGTAGTTTGAAACAACACAGACAAGATAACTCCATCTCAAAATAACATGAAGATATCAATCCACCCAGAAAACTGCAACAATTTAGTCAAACCTTTCACTGACACAGGCCTCGGTTTCACCACCTTTGATTCCTCACGTGATCTCAGCTGGACCTTCTTCTGAGGGATTGTGACCTAAAAACCATATTGTTGCAAACCAAAATAAAGCATGATACTCCACAAGTGGCCACATGATATCAAGATGAGCTAGATTTGTATTGTTTGGAACCGTGTGTGGAGGCTCGCGGTGGAAATACGTGATCTCGCCGGGATCCGGACCCACAAGCGCTAGAAGATGCTGGATCTTTTTCCGGTCCTCCAGCTCTCTGTGACAGTAAAGACACTTCAGCCTCAGATATGATGTTAGTGCTGTGGTGTCCGTGATGAGGAGACATCTGACCTGATTTTGAGGCGGTCGTTCTCGGCGTACAGTCGCAGCGCCTGCTCTCGCTCCTGGAACAGATACACCTGCATATCACTGAGAGCATTCTGGAGCTCTGCGATCTCCTCCTCGCGCTGACGCACCTCCCACTGCAACTTGTGCTGCACGAACAGAAGCACAAACTAATTATACAACATCCATGAAGAGCGGAGAGAGCAGAAACATCATCCAGGTGAATGGAGGTCACCTGCTCCTCCGCGGTGCTCCTGTACTTCTCCAGCATCTGCAGCAGGTCATCATGTTCTCCATCAAACTGCGCCACCTTCTGCCTGTAGAAGTCCAGCAGCTCGCGGGACGGCCGCAGGTACGCCAGACGCTCGGAGACGGGGGGCAGCGGAGACTCGCGCTCGGGACTGACACAAACACAGAGAACGAGGAAGAGACACTTAAAAGCGTGGCGTTCGGGATTTCAGACATGCTCTGTTCATGCATATGGTACCCAATGGTATAAAATAGTGTTATTAATATTGCAAATAATAAATAAATATTCATATATATATAATTTTTTCAATTCATTTTAACCCCCGGAATTATCATAATCCAACCATATGTTTAACTTATGAAATAATTTTAAAAATCCCATTATTCTTGATGATTTTCATTACATTCTCACATATAATGCAGTATTTTGTGGTTAAATTAAAGGCACAAAAACTAAAACCAATATGCAAAATGAATAGATCATTCATTTGAGAAAGATTTTTGCCTTATGGTAATGAGATAAGACTACCAGTGGAAAATATGCTTAATTAGCATGTGTGTGTGTATATATATATATGCATACACACACACACACTGCCGTTCAAAGGTTTGGGATCAGTAAGATTTGTAATGTTTTTGAAAGAAGTCTCTTCTGCTCATCAAGGCTGCGTTTATTTATTTGATCAGAAATACGGGAAAAACTGTAATATTGTGAAATATTATTGCAATTTAAAATAATTATATTTTCTATTTTAATATAATTTGACATATATGGGATGTTCTAAACATAAATGATATTTACCTTTTATGCTCTTTTGTAGGAGGAGAATCCATCATCACAGTGTGTGGCCTTAAAACCTAAAAAAAAGACTTTAATGTGATGCACTCAAAATACATTAAATTTTTTTATTTTTTTTTTATTAATTATTTTATTTATATCTTATTCTAAGGTGAATTTATCTTAATATAATGAGCTGTAGGTGACCTAACTTTACTCTAAAATTAAGGCAAATTAAAAACAACATGCAATATATCAAAATACTCATAAGAACAGCCCAAAGGAAAGCTCTTTTGTTGCCATGCGTTACCGGTGTGAGCAGTTATGGTTGTCATGTAAACAAGCGCTTTACAGAGGCATATATGAACGAACAAAGCGTTAAACAGGTTTATTGAGCCCGAGAATCTGTCCACAGCCTAAACGATCACTTTACTCGCTTTATTTAACCAGCAGACTGCCAGGTGTGCAGTTACAGTTGCGCGATAAAAACTAAATATCAGCGGTCATAGTTAGCCGGCTACATCAGCCATCTCCGCTATTTTGCACGCCGTAAATCACTGTTATAATAATATTCTCGTGGTGAATCCAGATTAATGTTTATGTTGTGGTTACCTTCTGCCTGCGCGCTCGCTTTTAAAACACGCCGGTTAGAAACCGGAAGTCTCTGTGTTTATTGGAGCGGGTTCTCACTGCGTCGCGTCTGCGCAGCACCGACGCAGCCTGGCGTCAGTTTCCAGCAGCTTCCAGCAGCTTCCAGCAGCAGGCGCCTGTCGGTTCTGCACTATTTCAAGTGTGTCACGCCGCTCGGGGATTGATTTAGATAAGAGCCACACACGGACCTCCTACGTGGCCTTTAGAGCTCGAAAAACATGTTTACAGCTGCTGCTAGCATGCGAGCTAATGGTTAGCAGCGCAGGAGGAGCCATGCTCGGGTCAAAGTAGAAGCACTGTCTCGTTTCTTCTTGTGTTTCGAGATGTTCCCCCGCTCGAGTGTGTGTAGACTCGGGTGGAGAAGCGTGAGATTGAGCAGGAAAGCCACTCGTGCAGCTGCTTCTGCGCAGACGCTGCGCCGCTACAGCACTGTGAGTTCTCGCTCATTGTTATTGTTCATAATTCAGCCTTCAGTAATCATAATAATGAGCCGGCAAGCACCTAAACGAGTGGTGTTATGAGCAAACAGGCTTGTGTTGTGGTTCTGTTTTCATAAGTTTCGGGTCAAAATCTGGCTGTGTACCTAGACAGCATTTTCGGTCCAATATTATAATCAAGTGTATATTAGGTTATATAATATTATAAATATTTATATGTATATATATGGCTATTTATATACTTTACTTTACTAAAATGTGTGCGTGTGTATAATTGTGTATATATATATATATAAAATGTATAATATTATAAATTTTCTTATTTTAGATGTAATATTTTATATCATTTTAATTATATATATTTATATTAATTATTAAATATATATATAAATAATTATATTATTCATTTTCTTATTTTAGATGTAATATTTTATATCTTTTAATTATATATATTTATGTTAATTATAATATATATGTATATATATTATAATTATATTCATTTTCTTATTTTAGATGTAATATTTTAATCATTTTAATTATATATATTAATTGTAAAATATATATATAAAATTTCGAACAATATTGTCGGTCAAATATTTTATATACTTTTAATGAAAAGCAACAAAAATGCACCTCTGATTCTCAAAAATGTTTCACAGAAAGTGTGCAAAAGCCTCTGATCCTCAAAAATGATGGTCAGGTAAGCAGCGCAGGGGGTTTTAACACATGGCCTTTGACGTTTAGCAGGAGAAAGGAACTTTTGCAACTGATCTACATGAACTTTCACCTGGGTTTTACAGCAAAAGGTGGCGGGACGTTCTCAAGGTTTTGCTTTCCTTTTGCAGGAAATGTGAGAAGAGTCTTAAGGCGGGAATAAAACACTTAGTCGTTAGGGGGCGGCGTGGCGTCATGGTTCAGTTTGGGCCTGAATTGGCTCTGTAACCTGAAGGTTGTAGGTTCAAATCTCTACTGAAACTATCACCATTGTGGCCTTGATCGAGACATTTAACCTCTTGGAATACTGAGGTTAACCGATGAGTACAGTTGGCCACTTTTGATAAAAGTGTGTGCTGATGAATGTTGTTTTTAGGATGTGTGTGAACGGGATCGCAGCTTGTTTGGGCTTCTGTTTGACATCGACGGGGTGCTGGTACGTGGACGCACGCCCATCCCTGCAGCCAAACAGTGTTTCAGGAACCTGGTGGACGGCGACGGAAAATACAAGGTTCCCGTGGTGTTTGTGACGAATGCGGGAAACTCTCTCCGAGAAACCAAGGCCGAGCAGCTGTCTCACCTTCTGGAGGTCGAGGTGAGACACCTGACGACAGGCAGAACCACAAATATTCACACCCTCCAGGAGAGTTTACACATAACATGTGATGTGTTTGCATGTGTCCGAGAGAAAGACGGGACAGTTTGATTTCTCCACACAGGTGTCGGCAGACCAGGTGGTGCTGTCCCACAGTCCTCTGCGGGTTTTCACTCAGTTCCATGAGCTGTGTGTGCTGGTGTCCGGACAGGGGCCCGTGGTGGAGGTTGCACACAAGTATCCTTCTTTACCTTGATTTGAAAGTCTATAATTATTCAATAGTTATAAATAATTAGAATGATAATTTTTTTTATATATATTATATTATAATAATTCATTATAATTTATATAATTTATTATTTATAATAATTATTGTTATTTATTACTATTAAAATATTGTAATAATTATAACTACTTATTTAAAAATATATATATTTAGCATATATATAATTGCTATAGTTAGGTTATAATTATATTAGTTATAGTTTTATGAATATATATATATATATAATTATTATAATTAATTATTGCAAATGTGTAATAATGTAATAATAAAATATATAATTTAATAATATAATGAATATACAACTATAATACTGTAGTTCATTTAATAAATAATAAAATTAATAAAATATAATTTGATTAAAAATATCATTAAATTACATTTGTAAATTATAATAAATAATACATTTCTATAATTATAATTAATATAATACTTTAGTAGTTATAAATATATTTTTATAATAACGATTACTACAGTATATATAATAAAATATATAATTTAAGAATATATAAATATATTAAAATGATATATTTTATTATATTATAAAATATAATTATAAAATAAAAAGTATATACTAGAATACATTGTTAAAATTTATTTTAAAAAATTAAATATATATATATATATATATACTTATAATTGTTGTAATTAATTATTGCAAATGTGTAATAATGTAATAATAAAATATATAATTTAATAATATAATGAATATACAACTATAATAGTTAATTTAATAAAAAATACAATTTAAATTAATAAAATATAATTTAATTGATTAACAATATCATTCAATTACATTTGTAAATTATAATAAATGTATAATAAATAATAAATTTCTATAATTATAATTAATATAATACTTTAGTAGTTATAAAAATATTTTTATAATAAAAATTATTACAGTATATATATATATATATATATAATAAATATATAATTTAAGAATATGTAAATATATTGAAAATATATATTTTATTATATTATAAAATATAATTATAAAATAAAAAGTATATATACTATAATAAATGATTAAAATGTATTAAAAAATTTATATATATATATATATACTGTAATGTGTGTGTGAGTTTGTATATGTATATGTATAGTTTCATTAGTTTGTTTTTAATTGTCCTTGACAAAATGAACTCCAGTGTAGGTTTCAAGAACGTTGTGACCATTGACATGCTCAGGGAGGCCAATCCTCTCCTGGATGTAGTGGATCACAATCGCAGACCCAAAGACATGGTGAGTAGAAATAACGATATTTGAATATGCAAGTGTCACTATTACTATTTGAACAGATTTCTAATCTTAACATTTGACTATATATTGCACTTAATATTCCCCAGATTCCCCCGTCTAAGGATTTGCCACCAATAGATGGTAAGCTTCGTTCCACTGCTTTCACTTTCTGTTCTTGAGATCTGTGTCCATACTCATCTGCATTTACTGTCACTTTATAGCTGTCGTCCTGTTCGGTGAGCCTGTCAGGTGGGAGACCAACTTACAGCTGATCACTGATGTGCTCTTGACCAATGGGAGGCCAGGAAACCCCGTGACATCACTGCATTACCCACACATCCCTGTGCTGGCCTGCAACATGGATCTGCTGTGGATGGCCGAAGCCAAAAACCCTCGGTCAGTGTCAGGATGATTTCTTTTTTTTATCTAATGACTAAATGGTGGTTAACTACAGCATTAGATGACAAATTAACAAGGACTGATGTTTGGTTTCCATTAGATTCGGTCACGGCATGTTCCTTGTGTGCCTGGAGAGCATCTATAAGAAGATAACAGGCTGTGAGCTAAAGTACGAGGCTCTGATCGGGAAGCCCAGCGTTGTGACTTACAACTATGCTGAACTGCTCATTAGAAAACAAGCTGAGCAACTGGGCTGGACTCGACCAGTCGAGAGACTTTACGCCATTGGGTGAGTCATTGATTTAATGTTTTGAAGACTGAATGGGCAAATTTGATTGACCTTGGAGCTCAATCCATAGCATACACTACTGGTCAGAAGTTTGGAATTATTATGTTTTTTGAAAGAAGTCTCTAATGTTCACCAAGGCTGCATTTATTTTAATGGAAAATACAGTAAAACTGTAAAATAGTGAAATATTATTACAAATTAAAATAACTGTTTTCTGTGTGAATATATTGTCAAATGTAATTTATAAATTTATATATATATATATATACTGTAATGTGTGTGTGAGTTTGTATATGTATATGTATAGTTTCATTAGTTTGTTTTTAATTGTCCTTGACAAAATGAACTCCAGTGTAGGTTTCAAGAACGTTGTGACCATTGACATGCTCAGGGAGGCCAATCCTCTCCTGGATGTAGTGGATCACAATCGCAGACCCAAAGACATGGTGAGTAGAAATAACGATATTTGAATATGCAAGTGTCACTATTACTATTTGAACAGATTTCTAATCTTAACATTTGACTATATATTGCACTTAATATTCCCCAGATTCCCCCGTCTAAGGATTTGCCACCAATAGATGGTAAGCTTCGTTCCACTGCTTTCACTTTCTGTTCTTGAGATCTGTGTCCATACTCATCTGCATTTACTGTCACTTTATAGCTGTCGTCCTGTTCGGTGAGCCTGTCAGGTGGGAGACCAACTTACAGCTGATCACTGATGTGCTCTTGACCAATGGGAGGCCAGGAAACCCCGTGACATCACTGCATTACCCACACATCCCTGTGCTGGCCTGCAACATGGATCTGCTGTGGATGGCCGAAGCCAAAAACCCTCGGTCAGTGTCAGGATGATTTCTTTTTTTTATCTAATGACTAAATGGTGGTTAACTACAGCATTAGATGACAAATTAACAAGGACTGATGTTTGGTTTCCATTAGATTCGGTCACGGCATGTTCCTTGTGTGCCTGGAGAGCATCTATAAGAAGATAACAGGCTGTGAGCTAAAGTACGAGGCTCTGATCGGGAAGCCCAGCGTTGTGACTTACAACTATGCTGAACTGCTCATTAGAAAACAAGCTGAGCAACTGGGCTGGACTCGACCAGTCGAGAGACTTTACGCCATTGGGTGAGTCATTGATTTAATGTTTTGAAGACTGAATGGGCAAATTTGATTGACCTTGGAGCTCAATCCATAGCATACACTACTGGTCAGAAGTTTGGAATTATTATGTTTTTTGAAAGAAGTCTCTAATGTTCACCAAGGCTGCATTTATTTTAATGGAAAATACAGTAAAAACTGTAATATTGTGAAATATTATTACAAATTAAAATAACTGTTTTCTGTGTGAATATATTGTCAAATGTAATTTATTCCTGTGATCAAAGCTGAATTTTCAGCATCATTACTCCAGTCTTCAGCATCACATGATCTTCAGAAATCATTCTATATGCCGATTTGCTGCTCATTAAACATTTCTGATCATTATTAATAAGTCTAATAATAAGTGTTATAGAAAGTTTTGCTGCTTTATATTTTTGTGGAAACAAATATATATTTATTTGGGGATTCTTTGATAAATACTGTAGAAAGTTAAGAACATCATCATTTATTTGAAATATAAATTTGTGACATAAAAGTCTTTACTGACACCTTTGATCAATTTAATGCATCCTTATTGAATAAACGTATTAATTTCCTCCTGCTTACCCTAAACTTTTAAATTGATAGTGTATCACAGTTTCCACAAAAATATGAAGCAGCACAACTGTTTTCAACATTGATAATAATCAGAAATGTTTCTTGAGCAGCAAAGCAGCATATTATACTGATTTCTGAAGATCATGTGACACTGAAGACTGGAGTAATGATGCTGAAAATACAGCTGCACATCACAGAAATAAATTACATTCTAAAATATATTCAAATAAAACCGACATTTTACATTGTAATAATATTTCACAATATTACTGTTTTAAATCAATGCAACCTTGGTGAGCAGAAGAGGCTATATGTGAGCCTGCAGCACAAAAGCAGTGTTAAGTCGCTGGGGGATATTTGTAGCAATAGCCAACAATACATTGTATGGGTCAAAATTATAGATTTTTCTTTTATGCCAAAAATCATTAGGATATTAAGTAAAGATCATGTTCCATGAAGTTCCTACCATAAATACATCATAACTTCATTTTTGATTAGTAATATGCATTGCTAAGAACTTCATTTGAACAACTTTAAAGATGATTTTCTCAGTATTTAGATTTTTTTGCACCCTCAGATTCCAGATTTTCAAATAGTTGTATCTCGACCAAATATTGTCCGATCCTAACAAACCATACATCAATGGAAAGCTTATTTATTTAGCTTTCGGATGATTTATACATCTCAATTTAAAAAAAACCATTAAAACTGGTTTTGTGGTCCACGGTCACATTTCAGAAACATTAAAAAATCGTAATTATTTAAACTGTTGACCGTTCAGTATGTTTGATGCATGTGTATCTCTCTTATAGTGACAACCCAATGGCTGATATTTATGGTGCAAACCTGTACAACCGCTACCTCAAAGCAATGCATCACACCCGTGCACAGGTGCAGGCGCAGGGCGGCTCGAGCAGCCAGGTGACCAGCGACCTGCAGTGCGACGCATCCGACGATGCCAAGCACTCCGGACGGGTGATGGTGGGAGGCTCGTTCGATCACCGTCTGCCCGAAGGCTGCAGCTCCATCCTGGTCTGTACGGGCGTCTACAACCACGATCAGCAGGACTTGCCCTCCGACCCGGAGCAGACGGTCACGGAGCAGCAGATTTTCCACGGTCACCGGGACTTCCGCTTCGACCCCAGCCTGACCCAGCCTTCCTTTGTCGTCCATGACGTTCGGGATGGAGTGGAGTTGGTCTTCCAGCTGGAGGGTTGGTCACTGCAGTAAATCATCAAATATTATGCCATATCTACATGCGATGCATCACGACTTGTCTTATCGAAATCAATCCTGATTATAATTCCTGTCTACACAGGAAGTGTCCATTGCGACTTCAGATTTTTCTATTTTTGTTTGTTGCGTCTTTTGATTAATTTTGAGAGCTATTTGAGCCATTTTACTTTTCCTGTCAGTCTGAAATGATTTTACTTACAAATATCAAATATGTGACCCTGGACCACAAAACCAGTCATAAGGGTCAATTTTTTTTAATTGAGATGTATATATCACCCGGAAGCTGAATAAATAAGCTTTCCATTGATGTATGGTTTGTTAGGATAGGACAATATTTGGCAGAGATACAACTATTTGAAAATCTGGAATCTGAGGGTGCAAAAAATCTAAATATTGAGAAAATCATCTTTAAAGTTGTCCAAATGAAGTTCTTAGCAATGCATATTACTAATCAAAACCTACGTTTTGATATATTTACGGTAGGAAATGTACTAAATATCTTCATGGAACATGATCTTTACTTAATATCCTAATGATTTTTGGCATAAAAGAAAAATCTATAATTTTGACCCATACAATGTTTTTTTGGCTATTGCTACAAATATACCCCAGCGACTTAACACTGCTTTTGTGCTCCAGGGTCACGTATGTTAATTGATTGCATTAAATTTTATTTGTTAAATACTCAAGCATGTAATATTTTTGGTCACTTGCCCTCTAATTTAAACCATCTTTTGCATTTGAAAGGCTGTTTCCAGAGTAGAATATAAATAAAGTAATTGTAAAGGTGTGGTAATGTTTGCAAAATTTGGGCAAAAAAGGTCCGTCATCTATTGTTCAACGATGTATGAAGCACAACTGTTACAGCTAAAAAATAGACTTTTATGTAACTGCATAAATACAATTCACGGAGACCCATTTCTGCTTTAGAGTAAAACATAGGCAACTTTGTATCTTCCAACTGACCCTTCGCCGGGAGTTTGATTGAGAGGCGATCTGACCAATCATAGCGCCGAATCTGCTATTTTGTCCAACAAACAAACCAGACAGAAGAGTAGATTTACATCAGTGGACTTGAACTTGAAAAACTTGGTGTGTATTGACGTCTTTGCGCGGTTGAAACAAGATACCTTCTGATGTTCATTCATGTTTATTTCGTGCTATAACTAGTAAAGAGGAAGAGATGATCGGTTCATGTGCCTACAGCGATCTGTCATGACACATTAAAGAGCCACAAAACGATATTTATTCTTTGAATTTCTTACAAAATGACAACATTTGAAAGCTAAGACTTTGGCGTGTTGTCAGTTTCCTCTTTGCTCTGCGATGTATTTTTCACTGCGTGAGAATGTGATGGCCTATCGGACGTAGCAACTGTAACTAAGGGGTGGCGGGTCTATGCGAAGGGTCAATTGTGACTTTATATCTTTAAATGCTACTTTGTTGCTAGTAATTGCGACTTTATATTTCTCAGTGTGACTTAGTGTCTTACAATGCTACTTCTCTTATTTCTTCAACTTTTTCATAAGATGTGGTCACATTTAAGTTGTAAATGTTGTAAACCAAGCAGCTTTCTGTTGGTCACATTTGTGAAATTTCACAGAAATGTCACAGACCAAAAAAGTCCATTAATGATGTTAGGCCTTGTCCCAAATCATGCCATCATGCTCAATCTTGTCTAGGCAGTAACCATCATTCTGCAAAAGTCTTGCGAGGTTCTTAAGGGACAATGAGCCCCATGCAACACAAAAGGAACAAATTACGGTGTAATCTGAATTAGGCCTGGGCGATAAAACGGTATCGATATTTATCGACGTTACACCTTCGATAACGATGGAAAAAATGTTCGATATAGGAACATGCTATAAGTGACGCGCACACACAAACACGAACACATGCTGAATTGAGTGCTGCGTCTGCCTGTGATGAGGAGATTGTAAATAAAGAATGAATATTAGTCGAATTTAAAATAAATATTTGCAATGTTAGGTGTGCATCAGGGAGCGTCATCAGTGGCGCGTGAGATGCGGTGATGATGATGTAAGTGACGTTGTTGCATTTTAATGTTTTGTTAGTCTAGCCCACGAGACGCACCGCTGCTGCGTTATTCATTCAAAATATTAGAGAAATTCTGAAGCTCAATGCGGAGAAGATCTTGAATGGGTTAAAACCGAAACCAAGCCGCGTGATACTTTCACAAGCACGATGTTAAAGCTTGCAGGAAGGAAAGACGTTCATCCACAAACCCATACTAGTTAATGAAGAAACAACACGATGGCACTGACAGGAGGAAGTTTGTTTTTTTCCTCCAATAGATGGAAATGTGTGTGTTCTCTGAAATATTTGCCATTGAAGTTGTGAAAGTGAAATGAAGTTCACGTACGCCTCAGTTAGTTTGTGTAAATCTGAACACTTAGGTTTGCTGTATAACACTGTACCACTTAAGCGCCATTCACACTTGTTTTGTTAGCGCTGTTTTTTAATTGTCTTATGTACATGAGTCAGGTGTTTTGTGCATCATGTCATACTGTATTTTCAGATGTAATTCAAGGCGAAAACAGTTTTACATTTGCAATTGTTCTTTCTAACTGTTTTTAACCATTTAAAGCTGTTTTTAAACATTTTAACACACAAATTTCTCAATTCATATCTAGTCCTTTAAATAGCCTATATTGTTTAGTGTTACGAGAGAACAAAATGCATTTATTGACAGTTTTTAACATTTTATGCATTTTATTGTACTCAACACAACCTACTGCAGAATAAACATCCTTGTACATGTTCACAGAGTGAATTCATTAAATGCAATTTTACATTTTCTGAGATATCTGATTTGTTTTTACTCCACATCCACCATATTTAGCGCAGGCCTGGTTGCATGGGGTGCTTAAAACGTTGAGGCTGTAAAAATATGATATTGGTGAAACCGATCTGGCAAATGATCCAAGTGCGTATTTGTGTTTGCGCTTTGGAAGGCGTCAAAGGTTTATATTTACTATGTGCTTAAGCGTTACGCAATATAGCCAATCACAGGCATATCTGTTGAATTTCTGGAACTCAGTGGCCAATCAGAGCCATCGGAATCCACTCAACGCTTAAAACACTGGAGTTTAGAATTTGTTCAGTGCTAAGTTCCTTTCAACGAATCCTCTCATTTTATTAACAAAGTGTAGACACGGTGTAAATATCTTTGTGCGATCGCGATAAACTGAAATTAATGACAGCTTATAGTGATTATAGTGTGCAATATGCAAGATTTCCAATTCATTAGCCGCTACAGCAGGGGTGTCAAACTCAGTTCCTGGAGGACCGGAGCCCTGCAGTGTTTAGTTCCAGTCCTGCTCCAACACACATACCATGTAGATTTCAAATAAGCCAGAAGGACTTGATTAGCTGGATCAGGTGCATTTAATTAGGGTTAAATCTAAACTCTGCAGGGCTCCGGGCCTCCAGGAATTGAGTTTGACACCCCTGTGCTACAGGTAAATAACTAACTATTAATTTACGGGAAAGCTATTTGTCTGTTTATGATTATGATAATAAATGAAAATAATATGATAACTAAATACTACTTAAAGCAGCATAACGGACTGTTTCAATAACTTGAAGCGAATGACACCGGAAGCCTCGCACATTTAAGTTACAAACGGCTGCGTCCGTTCTTACGTTAAAAATAAGGTGGAAAGCAGTTCACCAATATTTGCACCAAAGGACACTGATTTTTAACATGACGAAAATTTCAAAAACTTGTGGGTCAGCTTGTCAGTCAGCAGTCACATGACCTCTTCTCCAGGTGTTCTCCATCTATTGGATGAGAGTCCGAGTGCAGGAAAACAGTCGGTGAATCTGATTGGCTGTCCTGATGGACTGTTCCTCCGTACCGCACTATGAGTTCCCGTGCCATCAGTTCGAACGCTTCCTTGATGTTGTGATGCTGTTTGGCGGAGGTCTCGAGCGCCGCCAGCGCACCTGTGCGCTCCGCTAGCGTGCACGCATCCTCAAACAGCACCTGCCGCTGTGCCTCCAGGTCACACTTATTACCTGCAGGACGCAAAATAAATCATGAATATCTCATTTATTTGCTGCTACAGTTCTCAAGCATCTATCTTGAGTAAATATTTGACGCTAATAACCAATCGTAGAGATTTCAAAGAAAAATTGGATAAGAACTAAAAAAAAAAATGTTACATTCTCTGTTACAGATCTGCCTAAACTGGGGGTTGAGAGTTAATAAGCTAAGAATAAATAAAATCATAAAATAGTCACACACACAAGACCAAAGGGATGACAGGATAATGTGGAGACTCGATGGGGAATGGGTTCAACACTGCAGCTGGAATTGCTTGCCAGTTCAGTGCTGAACAGGGTACGGATTGGTCTCGGCACGTTTAAGAGAAGTTGGACTTAAAGCGCACTCTGCAGTGATCAAGCCTCTCATCAGCAGAAAGAATCAAAAGTCTAGACTCACCTTTGCTGAGGAGCATGTTGTGTGGAGAGAGGAGAATGAGAGCGATGAGAGCAAGTTTAATTTATTTGGGTCTGATGGGAAACATTTTGTTTGGCGTCAAACTGGGGAAAGACTGAACATAAAGTGCGTAAAGTCAGTGAAAGGTGGAGGAGGAAGTGTCATGGTTTGGGGATGTTTTCTGCAGCAGGAGTTGTGCCTCTTATACAGACACATGGCAGGTGAATGCAAATGTTTATCAGAACCTCCTTCAGCAAAATCTCTGGAAAAATTAATGGCAACATGGCTAAGAAACCCACTACAGTTACCGAACTATGGAAGAGACTGAAGAAGAGTGGACCAAGATCATACCAGCGCAGTGATGTCCTGCGGCCGCTGATGTGCTGAAGTCATTTAAATTGACAGCAGTAACCCTCCAAAATATTAGTTGTAATCTTCTTTCGTGCTACAGTGATTACTGTTCTCTAATTTTGATCACTGTGTTTTCCACAAAATAAAGGTTTTTGTTGAAATGTCTTGGTTATTCTATCAAACATGTAAGTGTAATAGTACAGCTAATATTCCTTCAGATTTTGAGTGATGAAAATTAACAATATTTCAGAAAAAATTAAGTATTTATAGATTGTTCTCTAATTTTGATCACTGTGTTTTCCACAAAATAAAGGTTTTTGTTGAAATGTCTTGGTTATTCTATCAAACATGTAAGTGTAATAGTACAGCTAATATTCCTTCAGATTTTGAGTGATGAAAATTAACAATATTTCAGAAAAAATTAAGTATTTATAGATTGTTCTCTAATTTTGATCTCCACTGTGTGTGTGTGTATATATCTTGAAAAATACAAGAAATCTTTAAATATGTAGAAGGTAATATATATATATATATATATACACAGTAAAAAAAATACAAGAAATATATATATACACTAAAAATACAAGAAATATATATAGACACTAAAAAATACAAGAAATCTCTAAATATGTAGAAGGTAATATATACAGTATATATATATACACTAAAAATACAAGAAATATATATAGACACTAAAAAATACAAGAAATCTCTAAATATGTAGAAGGTAATATATACAGTATATATATATACACTAAAAATACAAGATATATATATATATACACACTAAAATACAAGAAATCTTTAAATATGTAGAAGATAATATATATATATATACACACTAAGAAAAATACAAGAAATCTCTAAATATGTAGAAGGTAATATATACAGTATATATATACACTAAAAATACAAGATATATATATATATACACACTAAAATACAAGAAATCTTTAAATATGTAGAAGATAATATATATATATACACACTAAGAAAAATACAAGAAATCTCTAAATATGTAGAAGGTAATATTAATATATATTAAATGTAAATTAAATAATCTTTTAAATACTTACATATTCTTTATTATATATAATTAATATGATCAATAATATACATATTTGTCTCATAAAAATAGAATACATTTGTATTTTTATTTATGAATTTAATTTATGAATTAATTTAATTAATTTATTAATATGTTATGTATTTTTTGCAGAAAATACTAAATATTGAAGATGAAATAAAAATAAGTATTTATATATTATATATGTATATATTTTTTATTTTAATATTTAATTTACCTGCATATCATGTGCCCATTAACCAATATCAGACAACTGTGCACATGTGAATGTCTTGTTAGATTATTGAAATATTTATTCTAAAACCTTAGGGGTAGTTCAAGTAAATATTTTATGTCAAAGGAGTTCAGCTGGCTGACAGAAAAGTTTGGGACTCGCAGCTCTGACCTATCAGAACGAAGACGACGTTGGCGGCTCCATACTGCTCCACACCCTGAATCCAGTGCTGCAGAGACTCAAAGCTGGGTCGTCGGGTCAGATCGTACGCGATCATGGCGCCGTGAGCACTTCGGTAGTAACTCTGTGTGATGGTGCGGAACCGCTCCTGTCCCGCTGTGTCCCAGACCTGCATCTGATCTCAGGAACATCACACAGATCCACACAGACACAAATACAAAAAACACAAATGACATCTCTTTAAAATCTCAAGTGTCTCTTCTAGACTGCAGTGAGACTCAATGGAGGCTCCTGAGAAAAAGACTCCAGTAATCTCGCGTCTACTGAAGAGATCTCAACACTGTCTCAAACTGTGCACAGCACATTTGCTAAGATACAGTCAGAAGGTCAGATGTCAATATCAAACATGTCACATCAAATTCATCCAACACTGAAGAATGGACAGAAATCATATGGACTCCAATTTTTATTTTATTTCTTTAATTTTCCTGTCTGTACTATTCTATTTTTATAGAAAAATATCTGTATATTTTTAATAATAATATACACTCATTAATACTATTATCAAGAAATAAAATATAATTTTGTCTTGATTTAATTATATATACGCACACATTGTTTAGCTATATAATTGTATACATATATTTATCCTATAAAAATATAATAATAATAATGCATTTTATATATTAAATAAAAATTTATAATAAAAGAATACAAAAATATTTCTTGAAGAAATGTATATAATTATTAATTATTTCCCCTATGAAAACAAAATAAACTTTTTAACATGAAATTAATACATATAATTAATACATAAAATTAATATGGAATTTTATGTATTCATTTAATTTATTTACTTTATTTCAAATAATGAATATATAATATTTAAATAATAAATTGAATTAATTTATTTGAAATCATTTTTATTTTTTCTGACATATTGGTGTTTTATCTTTCACTTGGATGTTATAAGCTGCACTGAGTGAATACAGCTGGATAAAACAAAAGCTGTGTCCGTCTTCATTTCAGGCTGCAAAGCAACAAAATGTGATTATTTTAAAGGGGGATTATTTTATATCCGTTACAGTATAATACTGTTTTTTATTTTATTACATATATATCTCTATACAGCCTTCATAAGAAGAGTTCTTTACTGAATTTAAGGGCCCCCAAAGAACAGCTGAAACTCTAAAAAAATCATAAATCAGAGTACTCACCTTCACTCTCATGCCATCGATGTCTATCGTGCGAACGGTGAAGTCCACTCCAATAGTGTTGTGCAGGCTGTCACTGAAGAGCCCAGACGTGAAGCTGTGGATCACGCAGGTCTTTCCCACATTACTGTCACCAGTCAGGATGATCTTGAACAGAAAGTCACAGTGGTCTTCATCCTCCTGCCTTGTGGACTGCATTTCTGCAATAAATACTTGCGGATTGTGACCCACAGACCACGAAATGATTCATCCAGGGCGCAAATGTCACAGTTCCAGTGCTATTTTCACCATATCTGCAATCTGGAGTAATGATGCTGAACATTCAGCTTTGATCACAGGAATAAATTACATTTTAAATTCTATTAAAAAAACAAAAACTTTATTTTAAATAGTAATAATATTTCACAATATTACTGTATTACTGTATTTTTAATCAAATAAATGCAGCCTTGGTGCGCAGAAAAGACTTCTTTCAAAAGTATTAAAAAATCTTAATGACTTAAAGGTGGGGTAAGCAATTTTTCAAAAACGCTTTAGAAAACTGATTCGGGCCGAATAGCAAAACAAACTTGTAGCCAATCAGCAGTAAGGGGCGTGTCTACTCATGATGTGGAGGAGAGAGAGTTCAGTGCATGGGACGGATATTAGGCGAGCCGAGCGACAGAAAGACAGAGATGGCGGCTAAAAAATATAAGAGCAAAACATCTGCGGAACAAAAGAAGGCTTAAGGCAAGAAGTAGGACCCGTGTAAATATCGGATCAGCTTTCCAGCGCTGGAGAGAACTCAAGGAGCGGAAGGCCTGCGATCGGACGCCGAGGTTGCTCTGTTTCTTCTTGATAGGTGCGTAACACCGTGTCTGCAACGCAACAGCTAAAGTCTGTCTAGTACACTGGACGCGACAAAGCAACTGCTGAAAATCATTTGAAATTTGTGTCAACACGTCATGAATAGAACGCAGCAGCAGTTTTCTGTCGGGGATTTGTCGTGTCGTGCCGAGCCGCATCCAGTGTAGACCATAGATATGTATATATATTGATGGTGTAGACAGCATCACTGATTATAATGAGGTCTATTGTATTTTGTTGCGCTGCGCCACTCGCGTCCGGTGTAGACACGGTGTAACATTGGTTTTGCTTTGTTTCACAGAACTATTCGTTGCCTGGGTTGCGTACGTATGTGTGGGGTGGAGCTATCAAAATAGGAGCGAGACCCTTTTGGGGTAGGGGCGTGTTTGTTTTGGTGATTTCAAATGTCAACATTGGCTACCAGAAATCACTTACCCCACCTTTAAACGGTAACAGATGGATATGTGGAAATGTTTGGATGGAACCATTTAACTCAAATAATACTGGGCAATTACTGTAATTGCAAAGATCTTTTATTTGGACAAAAAAAAAATCATCTGTATTCTCTAATTAGCAAACATTCAACCAAAAATATACAAGTCAAAATCATAACTGACAGATGAGGAATCTGACATCTGCTAAATCCATCCCAAAGATGGCATCAGGCCTGCAGACACACAATTCAGCCTCCTGCTGGATCTTCACTCATGCCGAATAACATCATGAAAGAGGAAGAGTCTTTTGAAATACTTGACAAAAACGCCTTCCAAGTCTTTAGAAGAGGTACTGCTGGACTCAGACCAGCAGAAGTCAGTGTCACCGCCTTTTACAAGCGAAGCTGATCGTGTCTTTAGGTCTGTATGTGAGACAGGGGGTCGACTGGCTCTTTGGTGGTCCTGGCCTTCTCTTACGGGTCACACTTTTCCTGGGCGTTCGCTCTTGCTGTGGGACGTGAATGGGTTTCCAGGGAATGGGGTTGACGAAACTCGGAGCTGGATAGTTCACATTGTTATAGTTGCCTGAAAGTGTTCAAATTATTTTTGGCTTTGGATCTCAATGTTGCATGTTTGCCAGAATCTACAGTGTGGATATTTGTGCTTGATGTTATGAATTGTCATGGAATTAAAAGGGGGGGGGGTCTTTATCTTACAATTTTGTCTGAGAGAAAAGAATTGTGACATGTAAACTCAGAATTGTGGGATAAACTAAAAAAAAAGGAAAAAAACCGTCAAGCTTGTTTCCGCCACAGAATAAAAAAATAAAAAGGTAATTGCAACTTTTTATATCTCACAATTCTGAGTTTGTTTTTTTTGGTACAATTTTGAGGAAAAAAAATCCAAAAGCGAGAAAAAAATTCGGAATTGTGTGATATAAACAAAGAATTTTGAGATATAAGCTCACAATTCTAAGAAGACAAGTCTGAATTGTGAGATATAAACTCGCAATAGCAAGAAAGAAAGTTAAGCTTTCTTTTAAAAAAAGGTAATTGCAACTTTTCTCACAATTCTGAGTTTATATCTTGCAATTCAGTCTTTTTTCTCGCAATTCTGAAAAAATGAAAAAAGTCACAATGACCGAACATGAGATATAATCTCATAATTGTGTAGAAAAAAATTCAGATTTGTGAAATATAAACTCGCAATAGCGAGAACAAAGTCAAGCTTATTTTCGTCACGGAATCCGTCATCTCACAATTCAGAATTGCGAGAAATTTTTTTTAATTGAAATTGAAATTTGAGATATAAACTCGCAAAAAGTTGC